AAAAAAAAGAAAATGAAACAGGTAATCTGTAACGATGAAGGACACTTAACAGAATGCAAAAATCCACAGAAGAATTCTTCAGGCTGACATGGCTCCACTGGAGAAGTCTATAAATACTTAAAGAGGAATTAATACCAAGTCCACACAGTATCTTCCAGAAAAATAGGGGCAATACTTTCCAATTCATTTTGCCACGCTAGTCATATTCTGAGACCAAAACTAGTTGATAGAACAAAAAAGAAAATTATAGATTAACATTCTTCATGAATATAGATAAAAACATCTTTAGCAAGATATAAGTAAATGTACTTCAGAATTATATACTATAATCAAGAAGAGTTCATTCTAAGGAAGATTGGCTCAGTATTTCAAAATTAACCATATTAATATGTTAAAGAAGGAACATATTAATTGAAAAAATATTTAGTAATACTCATTACTAATTCATGCTAAAAACACTCAAGAGAAGCAGGAACAAGAGAACCTGCCCAACTTACTGAAGAACATCTACACAAATCTCCAGCTGACGTCGGATTTGATGGCAAAGGGCTGACTGTCTTCTTGCCAAAGGCCAGGAGCCCGCAGGACCTCTCCTTCCCCACTCAAGAGTTCAATGCTGGGAGTGACAGCCAGAGAAGTAGGTAGGAGAAGCCACCTGACAGGAGAGGGAAGAGCGCTTTCTTCTTGCACGTTGCTTGGAGAGAAAACTGCAAGCCTGCAATCAGTGATTTAGGCCAATCAGCAGCATAAAGGACTAACAAATTAAGTTTTTGCTCTATAGTAACAAACACGTGAATACCAAAATAAAAAATGTTTACAGTTGTTTAAAAACATATGTAAGTATAATTCTAACATAGAGAAGAATTTGTAAAATTACAAGAGCATGATGAGAAAAAAATCTCAATAAATAGGGGCTTACTATATTCAGGGATTGGCCCCCCCAACAAGGTGAAGGCACTGATTTTCCTCAAGTTGACCTACAGAAAAAAATCCCGAGAAGTATTTTGTAGAATATGTATGGCTGATACATTGTGTCAACTGGAGAAGCTCAGAAGTTTAACTAAGTAACTTAGGAGGGAGCCAGGACCTCGTAAACATCCTGCCCCATTAAAGAGGAGGGCATGAGACCCTTGGCGCTCCACTTTCCCTGGGTGAGGGGAGCCTGCTAACAATGTCTGGGAGGAAAGAGGCTTTCTCTTTCCTTTTTGCTCTTACTGATTTTACTGTCTTCTGCCACCTTGGACTGCTGTCCCTCTGCCATGCCACCTGCCTTGCAGCCAGCTGACAATGGACTGAAACCTCCACAACAGTGAGCTACATAAACCTTTCCTTCCTTAATTGTGTGTGTTCAATATTTTGTCTCAATATCAAGAGAAAAGTAGCCAGGAAAGAATTTGAAGGGTTGGGGCTCTTGCTGCGACTGTATCTGACCACATGGTTTAAGCGCTTTTGGAAATGGCTTGTGGGAAAAGCTTGGAAAGGTTTGGGTATTTTGCCTGAGAGTACAGCTGGGATCCTTAGGTTTTTCTGTATGGAAGATTCTGGTCAGAGTTCAGAAGACCAGAAAACCAATAAAGACCAGGCTCAGGTTTCTGTTGGGAAAAAGAACTGCACTGGTTGTCGCACTCCAGGTGATGTGTTTTACAGCTTGGCACAAAGCACGCCTGCATTTTGCTCATGTCCAGAGACTTTGCCCAAGACCAAGTTTAAGCATGGTAGACTAATTAGTCTGTCAAAAGAAATTTCAAGGCAGTCTAATGCTGAAGTAGTGGCATAGCTGTTGTTGGCGACTCTCAGTTGGATCCATGTTGAGAATGAAGAGCAAAGAGCCCAGCAGGATCATTTAAAATGCTGTGAGTCCAGCCAGAAGGCAGGATCCAGCGAAGCTGCAGACTACGTAGCCCGGGCCAAGAGAATCTCCACTGCCCCCGAGAACAGAAAGCAGCAGGAGAACGGAAAGGATGGTCTGAAGGCATCACAAGCAGCAGCAAGTCTTCACTCTGCAGTCTCAGAGCTGCAAAGATGAAAGACTACTGAAGACAGGTTTTTGAATTTGGAATTTTGAAAAAGAAGAACAAATGGGAGGATGAATCTACTGAATAGCTATAGTAATCAAGACTGTGTGGTTGATCAGAGGATTAATTAGATCAATGGAACAGAGAAGAAATGGCCTTACATAAACAGGTTGGAACACTTTTTGATATCAAAAAAGGGCATGCTTTTTTTTGTGACTGGCTCAGCCCTGGAGGCAGGACTGGTGTAGCAGGTGGAGCTGGGATCGAACTGCAGTCCTTGTGCATTTGCCTGAGCTTGCCTACGCAGGTGCTTTAGACCACTGAGCTATCTCACCAGTCCAAAGGCAGGCTTCTTAACAAATAGTGCTAAAAAGATTCTTGGATACTCATATGCAATCAATCAATCAATCAATCAATCAATCAATCATCAATCAACAGAGTAAATGAAACAAAGCAAAATGAAAGCAGTAACAAAAATTCCTCAACCTAAACCTCACACCTTATTCAGAAATTAACTCAGAATGGACCATCAACTTAAATATAGTATGTGAAACTTAAAAGTTAAAAAAAAATAGGAAAAATCCTCAGTTTAGGGCTAGGTAAAGTTTCTAACTCAACACCAAAAGCTTGATCCATGAAATACTGAAATAATCATCAAGATGAAAAACACTTGTTCTGTGAGCGCTCCTGTGACGAAACACTCCAGAGAGGAGCAAGTCTACACAGGCCGCATCTCCAGCTACGGACCAGTGTTCACCAGAAATGAGGAACTCTCAAGCTCAACAATTAAATGCCAAGCAATCTGGGAGGAAAGTGTAGTTCAGGGGCACAGGGCTTGCTTAGCATATTTGAGGCCCTGGATTTGACTCCCAGCAGTATAAAACCAAACCAAAAGTCAAACTAAACTACTATAAAACAAGGAAAAAGGTGAAAAACTTAAGGCATTTTACTTAGGAGCATAAATACACATGCAAGTAAAACACTCAAAAAGGCGCTCCTTACCATAAACCACAGGGAAAATGCCAAGTAAACCACAATCAGACATTACCCATTTGTTAGAATGACCAAAGAAAGAAGTGACACCAGCAGGTGCTGGCGAGGGTGTGAGGAAGCAGGGCTCCTACACTGCTCGCAGAATGCAAAAACGATGCAGCCATTCTGAAAAGTCTGGCAATCCTGAAACAATTTCATATGCAACCACAAAATAACCTGTCACTGGTCTTCTCCCAGAGAACTGAAAGCTTTTTTTGCACAAAACACCTTAAAAATATTCAGAGAAGCCTTACACCTAACAGCCCAAAGCTGGAAAACCTCAGATGCCTTTTCATGTGGGCATAAGACTAAATTGTGGTGCACTGGCACCGTGGAATGTTGCTGGTGAATAAAAACTACTGATATATACAGCCCTTGGATGAGTCTTCAGAGATAGGCTCAATAAAAAGGATGATCTCATTTATCTAGCTCTGCAAAATGATACTATAGAAATGGCTGGTGACAGTGTAAAGGAGGGTATGATGGCAAAAAAGGGACTGGGGCAGCTATCAAAAAGCAACCCCAGGGCTCATGGTGGGATGGAAATGCTCTGCATCTTGGTGGTACTGAAGTCAATATTCTGGTTGGGATGTCACCTCACCCTTTTGAAGATGTGATCAATAGAGGCAGGGTGCAAAACAGTATGTATTATACAGCTCTACTTACGTGAAGTTCAAAGGCAAAGTCAGCCACAGGTGGTGGGAATCAGAGCAGCAGTCACCTCTGGTGGGCAGCACCTTCTGGGGTGATGGGTAACAGGCGAGGCGCATGCTCTACATTTTTCTTTGATCAGTGAGCACGGGTGTGTACAGCATATCTATAAACACTTGTAATACATGAAAATCATGTAAAAATTTAGCTGAATAACCGAGTACACTTAAGTATAGTGTAAGTAGTACACTTTATTTCTGTAATCAGAGCTCATATAAATCTGAGAATCATTTTACCAGTTCCACAAAGTTTTGCATCAAATGTTTTTGCTCTTTCCTTCTAATGATGCTCCCTACGATGACATTTAGAATTCTGCTAAATCTTGGTGATTCCCACTGCCCACCCTACCTTTGGGATAAAGAACATCCATGGATTCAAAAGATTCATAAGTAGTAACTTATGCAGAATGTAAAAGTCTTGATATTTGAATGAAAACACACGTAGTGACCACACTAGCACACACATCTGACCACACCTTTCACTCGCATGTTCTTGGCTAATCTTACAGGAATACTCACTCAGCAAGTGTGAGGGTAAAAAGGAAAACGTCACAGCCTCAGGGGTCTGATGCTCTGTGACAAGATGGACCAGAACTGACCTTGAAGTCACCAGCCTGGGGGGTTCCCTTGGGACTTGTGTGGGGGGCACACCTTACGGATCAGCGTCCGACATTCTCACCTCAGGCTCAGGAGACGTGTCGTCCTTTTAGTGGTCTTCCCCTTAGGATTTTGGCAAACACGAAACACTGCTCCTTAGTAGAGTGCTCAGTAAGTGCTACCTCAGATGGGAAGAACAGAAGAATCAAAACGATATGATACTGTCATTAGGAAAATGACCTATGGTCAGCTGTGGGGACCAGCAGGGCAGCGAATCACACCGGCCTCACAGCCCCGCAGCATCAGACCCAGGGGGCAGCGGCTGCCAATACTCTATAGACCAAGGGACCCTGACGTCTTCTCCGCAGGTGCTACATTTCAGTTGTAATCCAGTGCTTGAACCCAGGTGCTTCATCCTTCCGAGGCCAGAATGAAGTCTTCCCCTTCGTGCTGATTCTCACTAAAGCAGGAAGCACCCCCCTGCCCATCAAGTCAGCTTCTGCGCCGGGATACACCACTGTCCCCAGGGGACCCCAGCCCAGAATACTCGGCCCTCTCCCACTTGCAGGAGGCTCCGCTTCAGTCTCCCCCTCAGCGAGGTCTCATTCAACAGTGACCAAGTTAAATAAAAAGCCTAACACAAAAATCAGGCAAATATGTTTAATTGTTTAAAATAACTGATGGCAAAATAAAATATTTACATCACATCATACTGTGTAAACATGTACGTCTCTGTACAAAGAAATATACATGCAAAATCATGTAAAAACTCAACTGAATAAAAGAAACAATACACAAATAAAAAAGTTATGAGGTTACGGATACACATCCAGTTTGGAATCCAATTTCTTTTAAAAAGTTTCTGTACAATTTTACAAGAAGAAACAAAAACCTAACAAAGGAATAAATAAGATACACTGGAAGCTGCAAAGCTTGGCTGTGCCAGTTTATGGCTCAAGACCCAGATGCTGGCTGGCTTGGGAAGCAGGCTGGCCTCTTTTTTAGTGTATTTCACACAATAAAGATAAAAGGACATCCAGAAAAATTCAAGTGAGCCCAGAAGCTCTGCCTCCTTGCGGAGAGGCCTCCCCACACCAGCGCTAATTCGGCCACAGTGACACGGGCACTGGGTACCAGCCTCAGGGCGGCCAGTGCTTAATTGGCTTTAATTTCTTACCAAAAGTTCAAAATCTAGCCAATTTTTTATACAGAAAGTTGAATGTCAAAAAGTTTAAAAAGTAGTAAATGTCCAGACTGATTTTGGGAAAAAAATAATACTTTGGCATTCTGAATAATAGCATAATAAATTTTAAAACATTACCCTATTATCCAGTTTTATATTCAGAGTATGAAATCACTTTTTACAGTGCTCAAAACTGACAAATTTCACGAAAAGTTAAGACTCCTTGCACCGATGGCAGAGGGCTACAACAACCTCCCCCAACACACACACACACACACAAAACCATAAAGCTCACTGTACGAAGTATGTGCTTTTTCTATATATTTATTACAGGTACAACAGAGGTCTTCATAAATAGTTGCATAAAATGTTAAAGCCACAACATTGCACATGATATGAAATAAAACCAAAACAAAAAGAAAACCAACAAAAAACCCCAATGAGTGCATTTACAGTATTTTCCTCTGACTATACCGCTCAACAATCTGATTGACGGCTCGGGGCAGGAATGGGGTGGCGGGGCTGGGCCCCACCTGATGTCGCCATTGACGGGCAGACCCATGGGCCCCAGAGGAAGGCCCAGGCGGTGGGTGGCAGACTGGCGGGGGGCGTGACAGACCGAAGGCAGGAGGTCTTATATACAAGTAAGGCCCACATTTCATCAGAGCAAAACAATTCATCCTGTTTTATGCAAAAGTCTGAGGTTGAGTGCACATTTGAGAAACCAAGCCTGGTGCCCCTGTGCAATGCACACAGACAAGCTGGCTGGAAAAGCTCAGCGCCAGGCGGCTGTGGGTGCTCGCGCGGCGTGAGAGGCCGGCGCCGGAGGAGTCTTCCCCAGAGATGCACAGTGTCTTTGTTTTGTTCATTAACACCAGTGGTTGAACATAGGCATTTTGTTTCCTTGGATAAATCTTGAAAATGTTAAATTTGCAAAATTCTATTCATGTTCGCTTAAAAAAGTATCTTTTTATTTTTTGCAGAACCTGAATAAAATACTGTGATACAGCAATACAGTCTCTGTCTTGGCAGAGCATAACCGAAGGTCCTCCACCCCAGCGCAGCGTGCAGCTCTGCGTCCAAGTGCTGCCGAGCGCAGCTCACTTGGAACGCAATTTCACACGATGAACGGTCGGCAGCTGGTCTGTTAGCTTTGTTTTTTTCTTCAAAATTCAAATTAACAGCTGATTGGCAGGTGAAAGAGAATGAGAGAGAACTTCAAGACAGGTCAAACTCGAGGCAGAAGCCTGCTCTGTAAGAAATTTTTAATGCTACGAATAGGTCGAACATCATTCTGGTGTTTGCGCCGCTCAATGAAGGAGGTCAGTCTGGATGTGTCGAGGACGCCCGTGCCCATGTTGTTGCCGCTGCCCACTTGCAGCCACTGCTCCTGGAGGGCCAGCGCAGCCGAGGGACGCTTGGCGGGATCCTCCTGCAGAAGGAAGCACACAAACTCCTTGGCCTTCTGGCTAATGCCTTTAAAGTAGTCATCTGGGAAACTAAAGTCTAATCGGCAAATGTTCAGGCAGGTCTCTTCCACGCTGTCGTCCAGGAAGGGAGACACACCACTGAGAAGCACGTACGTGAGCACTCCAACACTCCACATGTCCGAGGTCAGGGAGACAGGGTTCCCGAGGATGATTTCTGGGGCTGCAAACTCAGGGTTCCCCAGCAACTGGTGAATATAGTAGGTCGTGTTGAGCTGGACAGCATCTCCAAAGTCAGTCAGCTTGATTGTTGGTTTGGCCAAACTCTGATCCACAAGAATATTCTCAGGCTACGACACAAGACAAGATAGCTGTCATTCTCCAGCAGCCCAGTCGGAAGCTGACCCTGACAACTGTCAGAAACCTTGCTGAGGGAGAAGGCATCTGGCAGCTGTCTAGGACTCAAAGGGTCAAACAGTTAACAAGGCTGGTCTAGGAAGCCGGGCGCCCAGTTCTCCCCCAGCACTGTGACTCTTCCCTTCCTGCGTTACCATGCACCTCGACCCCATACCAACCCAGCAAGACATAAAGAAACTTTCTAACGCCCTCGTGAAGTGTTAGAACACTGAAGCATTTGCCTAGTACTCTACTGTGTCTGTCACTCAACACAGCCATTACAAACAGGAATAACGTGCAATTCCCCTCTGCCTTCCCTCCTTTTCCCTGGGGCCCAGGCACTGGAGAGCTTCAGAAGACAGAACGGGAGAGGCACTCCGAGGCGAGCTAGAGGCTGGGCATAGGGGTCTGCCAACCTTGAGGTCCAGGTGCGCTATCCTGCAGTTGTGAAGGTATCGGACGGCTTCCAGAACCTCCCCCAGGTGCGCTCTGATCTTCCCTTCGGTGAGGCTTCCCCATCGGACCACGCAGTCCAGGAGGCGACCCTGATCAGCCCTGCAGAGGCAGGGACGAGGGTGCTGTTATGAGATGCTTGCGCTGACTGACTTCTTCAGGCTAGTAACAAACAAGCATGCGAGGCTACTGCGAAGAGCTCCCTGGCATTTCCGGGCTGTACTGCTGCTAACAGTACCCCTTGACAGAAAGGGCAGCTCTTTGAACTTTGTCTGTGAAGATGTGAGTGGGAAACAAGGTCCCTGTTCTTGAGGGAGCTGGGTGGTGGAGAGGCACCTCCAGGGATTCACCTGGCTCTGTCCTGGGATAAAAGACTGGTAAGCACTGGGCAGTGCCTGGCACACGGCAGGCATTGCCAAACTACCTGGTGTAGGGAGAAAGATTACCTCACCACATCCCTGAGCCTTGGTTTCCTCATCTGTAAAATGGTCATGTGAGGACTGGATGAGATGGTAAGGTAAGGAGTCAGACAACAGAACAATGCAGTGTTTACTACAGGGCTCAAATTTTTCCTATTCAGAGCTAACTCCCCAACCCCCTTCCTTTTCTTCCCTGGGACTGACCCAGGCCCCATGCCCGGGTCAGCTCTCACTGAGTGAGGGTCCTGGCCCTCTTTTATTCTGACGTACGCTCTCATTACATTGCTCAGACTCACTGAAACTGACTCTCCGGCCTTAGTCTCCCAGGTAGCTGGGACTATGGGCATGACCCACTGCACCTGGACGGAAGTCACTTCTAATATTTAAGAAAGAGTGTGCTGGGGGCGGGGCAGGAATGTAGCTCAGGGGCAAAGCGCCTGCCTGAGAAGTGCAAGGTCTTGAATTCAATTCCTGGTACAAAAAATTAAAAAAACCCACACAGTACTGCGGCCTACTAGAACTGAAAGCTCAGAATTCACCTGATCCTCAATACTCTCTGAGAAGTGTACTTCACTGTTCCTACCTTACAGAGGAGGATATCCAGGCAGAGAAGGTCTGAAACTTTCCCAGGCCCCCCACTCCTAAGCAAAGAAGCCAGCATTGGATGGAGCCTCTTGGAATATGGGCCTTTGCTGCTGTCTTCTTTTGCAAAACAAATTTATAGGAAGATTAGCCACCTGTCTGTCCAATAAGTAGGATGTTTTTAAAAAATGTATTTGGGCTTGGACTCGTAGTGATCCTTGTTTTCAGCCTCCCCAGTGCTGTGATTACAGGTGTGTGACACCACGCCTGGTACAGATGGCTGGCTCAGTACGCTTAGGGGCAGGGCCGGCACCACATGTGGTGCCAGGGATTGTGAACCACGGTCCTTGCACTGCCTAATCAGGCGCTTAGTCTGTTGCACTATCTCTCTGGCCCAGGAGGATTACTCAGTGTGTTATTTGTTCTGAAAATTAGTTCTGTGTGGTGAGACCAAACTGTAACTTTCCAGAAAAAAGGCCTGACACCCAAGGGCCCTGGAACTTCAGCCAGAAAGTGAGACCTGGGAGGTTTTGCCAAGAATTGTCAATAGTGATAGTACTTGCTCACTATTACCAAGCTCCCTCCAGAAGGAGCAGGGTCTGGAGCTCAGAGGCCAGGCTGGCCTTGCACGTCAGCTCTGCCAGACAGCACTGCGTCCAGCCCTCCAGCCCTCCACAGAAGCTGGCTTCTGAGGGCACTGAGGCTGAGAAATGAGTCAGCAGGCGGGTGGGGAGAGCAAGTGTGCTGCTCCCCGCTGCCCTGGCACATGCAGTCTGGCAGAGGGGCTGGGAAGCTGGCCCCAGGGCCTAGGGGAGTTTCAGCTGCAGCAGCACTGCAGGTAGGTGGGTGAGCCTGCCTGAGACCCCACTGTCACCTAGGGTCTGGGTTTGCCAGCAGAGGGTGGCTGAGTCTAGACCTGGGGTTGCCTGGGTCCTTGCAACCTCACCCTGTGAAGGGTGGTGTATGGTGCATTTTCAATCTTGTGAAGAAAAGGAATACAGCGGAGAGTCCCAGGAGCAGGGCCGAGGAGGCCTGCGGGTGGTGGCTTAGCTCGGCCCGTTTCCTGGGTGTGTCTGCTCTTGGGGTGTGGTAGTAGTTGCTCTGCCCATCCTATTCTGCCTACCCCAGAACAGACGCAGACTTCTAAACAATGGCAAAAGGCCTTGCCCTTGCCCGTGGAAAAGGAGCTGGAAACCCAAGTAAATGCAGGAAATAATTTCCTCCAAAAAGGCAGAATACAGAAAACACAAAGATGTTTCGCAGAGATTAGAAAGTTGCTGGACAGGGTTTCTTAGCCTGGCTGGCTGACATCAGGTAGAGTGACTGCACCCTGGTTGGGGGACTGTCATGCACCTTGCAGGAGGAGTGCAGCAGCCAGGCCACTGCCTGCTAGCCGCCCCCAGCACCTGCAACAGCCAGGCCATCAGACACCTCGCCACCCCTGGGGGCAGGGGAACCGCAGAGAAAAGCGTCACAGCCGTCACATGCGGTTTCTTCACACAGCTGCTTTGTTTTTAGAACCCCACAGAGCATGTCACGGGTGCCACAGAGGCTGCTCTGGCTGGAGCGTCTGTGCCTGGCTCCTTTCTCTCTTGGGGGAGCTGACCTTCCCACCCTGATCAGCTCCCTTGGCAGCTGCCCGATAGGCATGCTGGCCTGGGCAGCACCAGCAGCGTCTGAGCTGGCCACTCTAAGGCCTGACTGAGCACACATGGCCCTCAGCAGGCACTCACTGGGTAGCACGTCAGCCCTGGGCTGCCCACCGTGGCTGGGGCTTCAGCACAGAGAAGGCTTGGCCTCTTGCAAGCCCTGGAGGCCAGGCTGGTCATCAGGCTCCCTGCGGACGCAGGGGCCTGGGACAGCACAGGGTGAAGACACCCTTTCTTACTGCCACGACTGGAGAACTGTAAAACCCTGGTCTCTGAGTAAACTTCAGTTTTAGACCTTTTGTGAATTCTAAAATACCACTTCCTAGCCTTCTTCGAGAATAAAAAGACAAACTATCGCACAGAGAGGAAAGCCAGGTGAGGACGCACATTTCCAAAATGAGGACATAGCTGGTGGGAGTCTCAAAGGTGTCAAGGAGGCCAACAAGGAGCGGGTGCTGGAGGTTCTGCAGGACGCCGAGCTCATGCGTGACCTGGTCGCGCTTCATCAGCTTCTTGTTCACAAACTTCGTGGCCACTGCTCGCTTGGTTCCTTTCTGATCGCATTTCTTAACAACGGCAAATCTGCCCCTGTAAGGATGTTGAGAAGATCAACGTCAGTGACACAAGAGGTGGGACAAGAGGAGACGCTGCTCCCCAGACTGGGTATGAGGCTGTCCCAGTGGGTGCGCTAGCTCCTGGCCACACTGGAGAGGCCCAAGTTCTGCCCATGTCCATGCCCTTGTCACACTCCAGGGGGCAGCCTCCCTCCCACCTGCCTGGTTTGGGCAGGCCTGGCGGCTTCCTGACCTCTCAGGGGGGCAGAAGTGGAAGTGTGAGAGCCTTTCCTGGCGACATCTCCCACCTTGGTCCTTAGGCACAACTTTCACCATGGCAAGGAGCTGGTTTCCCCTGCACTGAGGCCTGCGTGGGCAGGGTCTACGAAGCCATCCCTGCAGCCCACCCTCAGTGCCCTCCTGTGCCTGAACCGTATCTAGATTAGTCAATCTGGGACCTCAGGCCTGAGCCTATGTCACACAGGAGGGCATGGCACTGACCCTGTGGCAGGAGGCGGCAGGCTGGGGGATTTAGAGAAGCCACTTTTGCCCTTTCTCCTCTGCGTCCTCCCAGTAACCAAGTGGGCTGAGGAGGTACAGATGTGGTTCCTCAGGCTGTAGCCCCTGCCTCTGCTCTGCTGGAACGGCTCCTCTATTACACGCAGAGAGCCAGAATGTTGATATGAAGGCAGGCTCCAAGTATTAGAGCAAGGCCTGCATGAACAGCCGGCCTCACCGAGACAGACTGAGGAGCGTCAGCCCTGCCAGCCCACCGTGCTGTGAGGAGGAGCACCTTGCTCCTCGCGAGGCAGCCAAAAGGCTTCCAGACTCAGCTGAGCCGCTGGCCACGGGAACATGGAGTGCTGCTGGTGCAGCTTCCTAGAAAGCTCTCCAAAGGGGATGAATGAGCAGGGCACAGGGCCTTCCTCTCCAGCCGTGGTGACCGGAGGTGTGAGTGTGGTGCAGCATTGCAGCCTGAGTGTCCAGCACCAGGGAGCTGCGGGCCTGACTGCCCTTGTGCCTCTATGTTGAAATCGCTTTCTCAGTTTGGTCACGAGAATCCCAACACTCTGTCTAACACTAACGGTGTAACTTTTCTAAACCCCCATGCCCAACTGAAACTTCAAAGGCACGGCCAGCTTGTCCTCTGTGGGGTTCAAGAGAATGAAGCAGCCCGTGACTCTTCTGAAGCTCCCCTGGGTGGCGTCCAGCTTGGCCTGTCTAGATGTGTAGGTAGGAAGGAAGCCCATTCACTGCACCAGGGGACGGCCTGCGTCCAGGGCAGCGGTGTCCCACTCTCTCTGGGAGCCTGGCTGGAAACAGCTTCTTCACTGCCCACTGCTTACTCTCTGAAGGCAACTGCAGGTTCCCCTTCCCATCCACACAGGAGCTCCTCCTGCAGCATGGCGTTCACCACCCGTCTACGTGTGAGGTGTGCAGGAGGGCTCTGCTTGTTACCTGCCGAGCTCAGCCACCTCGCTGTAGAAGCAGTCAAAGTTGTTCTTCCAGGTCACCAAGATCCCATCACTCCCTGGACCTGCAAGGAGAGCAGCATTTCCCGAGCATGTAGCCAACCTGCACTAGCCACAGGGCAGCTGCAAGAGGCCTGGAACATCAGAGGTGGGGCCACTAGAGTGAGGTTGTGCTCAGCGTCACATGCCTGGGTGCTGGGACTCAGCTTCGAAAGAGGATGTATGACAGCTCATAAACAATTTAGTCAGGCTGCATCAGTCTGTCATGCTGAAGCATGGATACACTGGGGTAAATTAAATGCTAGTAAAACTAATCCTATGTTTCTTCTTTTAAAACCAGTGGTAGAAAATCTGAAACTGCTGTTTTCTATTTTATTTCTAAAGGGCTACACTCCTGAGGAGCCCCTTCTGTTCCCTGGGCCATGTGCCCTGAATCTGTCTCTATCACAGACATGAGAAGCCAAGAGCTTTATCTTTATCTACTACTTGGCGGGTTTCATAAATCAAACAGGCTACAAGTGCAGGTTAAGTTTTACTATACAAGTGGCAACTGCAAAGCACTTGCCAATAACGTGTGTAGTACTGTGAGTGTTCAAAAGAAAAGAGGCATTAGTGCTAAGGCTTTCTTCCTCACAATGGGTCACTGAGCTGGCCAGGGCCGCAGGCACTCTGTGGCCACAAAGTTCCCAGGTGCGGCCTCTGCTTGGCACTCTGCCCGTAGCGCTTCACTGTGGCGGCTGTGTGTGTGTGTGGGGGGCTGGCAACGCGCACCACCGCAGCCCTGGCCTCCAGCTGCAGCTGCTGAGGTGCCTGGGCCTGGCCTCCAGCTGCAGCTGCTGAGGTGCCTGGGCCATTCCTGTCCCGAGCTGCTGTCACTGTGCTCAGCCTTGGCTTTCTAGGCACCTGAGAGCGCGGCTGGGGCCCGGGCTGCAGTCAGGGCCACAGAGAGCTCAGGGCCATGGCCAGCCTCTTGCAGGGCGGGAACAGCCTCTACACAGACGGGACAGGAGCCACCAGTGGGGAGCAGCACCCCAGTGACCTCACACAGCAAATTATCCTGGCCCGCAAGTGACACAGCTTCTCACACGGACAACCTGGGCCAGGCCAGGCCCTGCAGAACGGCCTGCGTGATATCTCCCTAAAGGCCTCAAGGAGCTAGAAGTGGTTTATGTGATAGCAATGCTCACATACTTCTTTTTCCATTATTTTTGCACTCACATCTCCATGGTGTGAAGCCTTAGAGGCAAGTATCTAAGCTTTGAGTAGGAACTTATTAAAAAATAACCAACAATATAAATTCTATGAGATCTTTTATAATTTAGAAAGTGAGGGCTGGCCTGATAGCTCAGCGGACTAAAGCGCCTGCTTAGGCAGAGCACAGTGGCCGGGGTTTGACCCCTGGCATGCCGTGCCGGTCCTGCGTGTGGGGTGTGCTGAGATGGCAATGGAGACTGCGTGTGGTGGCGCACGCCTGTAATCCCAGCATGTGGGAGGCTGAAAACAGGAGAATCACTACAAGTCAGATCTACATAGTGAGATCCTGTAGACCTGTCCTAAATACACAAAAGAAAAAAAAATTTAGAAAGTGATTCTTTACTTTCAAATTCAAGACTTTCATGTGATGACACAAAAACCCAAAATTGTCCTTTCTCTGATTTAAGTTAAATACATGAGGTTAAGATGCACAGGATAGAGTTCTAAAGAAGATGTGCTGCTGACCAGGGTGCTCTAGAGCTCACTTCTTCTTTGTTTTGAGACAAGGTCTTGCTTTGTTGTCCAGGCTGCCCTTGACCTCCTGCCTCAGCCTCCTGAGTGCTACAATTACAGATGTGTCTGGTTTTGTTTCATCTTTGAGTTGGGTCTTTTGTTTTCTGCTGTACAAAGCTTCCAACACCTGGAATAGCTGAAGGATGGAGAAGTCTCAGCTGCTCCGTGCTGTGCAGTTTCCAGAGGGACAGTGAGAAGCCAGGCAAGACCTGCTGCTTTCTGAGAATCTGCTCATAGAACTACAAGAAGTTCAACAAGGCCTGCTATGGCTTCCATCCATGTAGCCTCCAGCTGGGGACGGAGCAGCTGGGGCTGGCACCCAGGGTTAGCGTGCTGAGGGCCATGTGGGGCAGGCTTCTGTTGGTCCCCGCAGCTCCTCAGTCACGTGAGCGAGTCCCATGAAGCAGAGGGGACACACTTTGCCCTCCTCTCCTCTCCTCTCCTCTCCTCTCCTCGTGAAATCGACTTAGATCAGAGCTACACTCAGTGGTAGGTCTGGGAGAACACGTGTTGAGCAAGGAGGGAGCATTCTGGCAAGCTGTGCAGTGGCTCGAGTCACCCTCCTTCCAGGAGTGGGAGTCCCCAGGGCCCGTGCTGCTGGGCAGAGCTCGACGAGCATGCCCCGTCATAGCCACATGCGCACCTTCCTTTGGAGGCTCCATGGCGGCTTCCTGTTCTACAGAAACTTAGGTCATAGCAAGACTCCAGGACTCTCGGAGGACGGTGCTGTGTGCTCGGGTAGCTTACCTAGAACCCTCAGACTGGCCGCCGACGTTGCTGAACCCATGTCGTTCACAGCTATGCATGTGTAGATGCCGTCGTCCTCCGTGGTCACTCCAATGATCTTCAGAGTGGCCTCCCCCAAATCACTGCCACACACAGAACACTGGTGTCACAAAGGCTCTACACTCTGGGTACCAGCTCTAACTTCTCTCCTCAGGCCACAGGCAGTCAGGTGCTTAGTATTGGTGAGGAGTTTTAAGTGGCTCGCATCTCACACCCAGCCCTAAAACGTGTATTCAGACAGCCTAGGTGCTGACGGGGATGAAGAAATGGATCCCATCCACTGACTGAGCAAAAGACATGCTCCCAGCGGGCAGGTCTCTCACCTGTAGGAGATGCTGTAGTGGCCATCGCTGTTCACGGTGTTGTGCTCAGGGCCCTTCCAGGTGATCGAGGCCTTGGGCCGGCCACAGACTCGACATCTAAGAACAACGGTCTCCCCTGTCTCACATGTGACCTCATTCAACGGGATGACAAATTCTGGGGGGACTGCAAGGGGAAGGAACTGGTCAGCCTGCCCCCTCTCCACATCGCAAGGCACCCCTAACTAGCCAGCAGCTAGGCTGCGGCCCAAGCCCAGGATGCCACAGGAAACCTGTTCCCAGGGCTATCCTGGGAGCTCTGAAATACCTCAGATCTGTGACCCCAAAACTGGAGGAAGAGTAGCTGAACTCACCGTCATAAATGTAGTTGGGATTGAGAAGCTGAAATGGAAAAGGGAAACAGGTTTTAGCTAAAAGCCTGTGAGATTTCCAAGAAGCCAGGCATTTTGACCCCAAGGCTACAGTTACTGTTGCAAGACTAGAAGAAATAGACTCCGCAAGGCTAATCACGGCAAGGCTAAGGCAAGGCTAATCACGACACACCACTGCTCACTGCTGGGCTAGGCTCCTGACCCGGGTGCATGGAGGGAGATACTTTCTCTTTCTCCAGGAAAAACTCCCACAGGTTTCAGGCAACCTATCATGAGGATTAAAGCTGGTGAGGCTTCCCAAGGGAATCAGAGGTGCTGAACCTGTGTCCTGCACTGGGTCACTTCCCTCTCACCTGGGGAAGAACAAGGAAGTTGGAGCCCTGTCTATGCCTGAACCCTAAGCTCTGTGCCACGGGATTTCACTGAGTCACAGAGGCCGGGTATGTGTAGACCTGGTCCTGGCAGCATGCTCTCCAACAAGCCTGCTGAGAAGCCCCTCAGACGCTTCTCCGCCATCCAGAGGTGGGTGTGGGCGATCATTTCCCAGCACGGCCGCGCCCTCTGGCCCCTGGTGGCAGGGTGCCAAGGGCTCCTTGTTCTCACCTTCACAGATACCTTGTTGCTGAGTCCTTCCCGAGATTTCCGATATCCATTCTCTAACTTGCCTTCCCTTTTGCCGTCTTTGTCTTTTTTCTCAGATTTTTTCCTTAAGCGGAGTGCTGTGTGCCAAGATGTTGACTTCCTGGGATGCAAAGAGCATGTTGTGAGTTTACCCTCGTCTGGCACTTGGCAGGTGCCCAGTGCACACTTGATGGAAGGCCTGCGTAGCCATCTCCACCCACAACACTGAAGAAGTGGGAATGAAATGAGCAACTTCTTAAGTCAAGTTTTATGGTTAAATTACAGACCTATCTGTGGTAGTTAACACTGTGTTCTGACATCTGCTCAAGCAGTTTGGGTGCTTCGGGTTGAGACAAAGGTTTCAACAGGCAGTGCCAACTGTCCTTCCTCATCCAGTCAGCTGAAGGCAGGACCTCAGCAGATAGCCAGGCCTGCCTCTCAGGAGGGTTTCCTTGCAGCATGCTTTGACTCCGTCTGCGCAGTGGGAACTTACAATCACCTGTCTCCATCACTGCATAAGCCAATTCCTGATGACAAATGCTTTTCATAACACATGGGCTACTAGTTCTGTTTCTCTGAAGAACCCTGCTAAAGGGCTCAAGGATGTATTTTGAGGAAACCAAGCACAAGGTGGGGCTTCTTAGTTTTCTTTCTCATCAACTTATTAGGACATTAAACACCTATAAAGCAGGTATTACGGTTTACATCTAGCTGTCCCCCCAAAGCCTCATGCAGTCACTGGGGCAGCTTCTGGAGTTTGTGATTAATTCATAATCCAATGTGGGGATTATGGGTGTGAGCGCTACACCCGCCCTGGGGCGGGTAATCTGCACTACAATGTTAGCAGAGGAGAGAGGTGGGCTAGTTGCTATAGCTACTGCTCCTCCCTTGCTCTCTGAACAGGTGCCGCTCTGCCTTGGAGCCAGTTCAGTATGGACTGAAACCTCCACTAATTGTGAGCTAAATAAACCTTCCCTTTCTTCATTTTGGGTGGTGGGTATTTTGTCCCAGCAATAAGAGAAAGTAAGCAGGGTTCTTGAGTGATGCACACAATACCTGCTGCGTACATGAAGCAGCAACAACAGGGCGAGGGGTGCCATGATGGCTCCACAGGACTGCTCCTGGGCTGCCTGAGACACACTGTAACTGCCCATACTGGGCTGTGGGTGCAGCTGGGTGGGAAGAGCAGCACAGCCCTGCCCTGGTTGCATGTGTCTCATCTTCTGGAGAAGATGTTTGGTCATGAAGTTCTGTGACACTCTAGCCCCAGGATGGACCCAGCTGGCCTCCAGTACAGAGAGCATTTCGGTGTGACTGAGGGAAGGGAAAACTTGTACAAGCCAACATGGGCTCAACTTTAAGACACTGTTTAATGCAGCAGAGCTACTCAGCCGCATGAGCCATCCAGTATAAAAGGTATCACACAGCTTTTCCCTGTAGCCTGGCAGGCCCTGAACCAACGTCCTCAGCACGCCCTCAACGATGAGCTAGACTGTCTGAAGTTCCTCTCCTCCAACCAAGGACTCCTGGAGCCAATCTGTGACCAGAAAATGTCCAGTGTTTTTAAGGGCACATTAATACAAGAACCTGCTACAGTAAGCCCAAAGGATGAAAAGCACCCTGCCTTCCCTTTGGGGCTCGCGGCTTGTGCAGCAGAAGGCTGGCTCAGACAGGACACTGGTCCAGCTTCTCCTCACACCCCACGTGCACCGGCCTGCCCCGGCCACCGCATGGGTGTGTGCCACCACCAGCACTCACTTGAGAGTCCCATCGGGGTTCTCCATGATGACTGCACTGGTGTGGCCCAGGACAAAGCCTGGAATCCAGCCCTCGGCTGCGGGGCACTGGTCAGTGGCGGCTCGGAACACCAGAAACATGTTCTGCTGGTTGCTGGCCAGAATTTGAACGACCTCTCCTTGATAGACGTTTATCTCATCCTCCTTCACTGCCGTGTAATCGTGTGTCACCAGCATGGTGGAGATGTTGCTACTGCTGCTACTTTCACTCTGCAGAGGGAAACATGGAAAAAGAAAGGCAGATGGGAACTGCAGTGAGATCCGACAACAGGAGCCGGGGTCGGTGCGTACCAGGCCCGGCGCAAGGCCCCCTCGGCCAACAGGAAGGCACGGGGAACTTGAGTTTTTCTTTCCTTTTGGTAGCAGCATGGACTGCACTCAAGGCCTTCGCAATGAACTACAAATCGCCAGTTTTTAAAAATTTTTATATTTTTAGCTTTTCAGAAAGGGCTTCACTAAGTGGCTAAACTATTCAAGCTGGGCTCAAACTTTTGTTCTTCATGCCTCAGCCTTCCAAGGTGGTGGGATTACAGGTGTGCGCCACCATGCCCACCTCACTTTTCTTTCATTCTTGCTAGCTTAGTGCAATGTTTTTAATACCTGGAAATCAGGAATTCTCCACACAACAATTATTCTTAAACAAAAAACCAAACTAAAAAACAGGGCAGGGATGATTTTTTGGAGTCGCAGAGTCACTCCTCACCCAAGCAGTCACAGCACCATTAAGCATTAATAAAGGCTGGAGAGTATACTTCAGCTCACTGACAGATTAGATATGGTGATGCCCCCAAATCTTCAGATAAATGCTTATTGGGAACACATGTATTCTAGGATCACAGGTTGCCGGCCAGCCAATTTGTACAACTTTGTCACTTAACAACAACAAAAAGAATGTGGGGGCTGGCCAAATAGTTCAGTGGATTAAAGTGCCTGCCAGCAGGCGCAGGGGCCAAGGGTTCAAGCCTGGGGCCTGCCGTGCCAGCCCTGGCCCCGGCCCTGGGGCACGACAGCAATTGAGACTGGACATGGTGGTGCATGCCTGTAATCCCAGCACTTGGGAAGCTGAAAACAGGAGAATGACTATGAGTCCGATCTAGTAGTGAGACCCTGAACACCTTGTAGACCCTTCCCTAAAATACAGAAAAAAAAAATGTGGAATCTGAGGAAAGTAAATCTGCCTTCACACACTTGCACTCATCTCCTTTATATACCCCTCATAAGCAGTACTCTACTGAGTTGTCTGATCCAACTGTCCCCAAGGTGCCTTGGGGATGTGCCACGGCATCACAGTGCCACTAACCCTTTGGGCGGTGGTAACGCTGTCCTTCCTAAGCCTGCAACCCCAGGGATGCCCATAACTGATACACAGCAGGCTCTCAGAGCTGGTTAGGTGACACAGTCAAAGGCAAAACTGCAAAGTCAAGCAAAGCTGGTGTCTCAGAGCCACCTATCCAGATCCACAAACCAACTGGGTTGCTGAGCAGAATACACACAGCAGTTATCTGTCCCTGGCTCTTATTAACAAGTGACCTGCTGTTTCTAGGGGAGGAGGAGAAAGCTGAGACCACTGCCAGTTCCTAAGCTGTCTCTGGTGCACATCCCCCCTGCCCAGTTAGGATGTGGTAAATGGCGTTTAGTATCCCTTTCCTGCGAGCTCATTCTCTCTCAAAAGCTTTCATGGAGGGGCCGGGGAGATGGCTCAGTGGAATAAGCGCTTCCCTGGCAAGTGCAAGGGCCTGAGTTCAATCCCCAGTTCTGCCAAAAAAAAAAAAAAAAAAGCGTCCATGGTGCTTCAGGATGTTTAGATGCTTTTGCTGGCTTTGAGATGCCTGGCAGGGGACCACCCTGCACCCCACCGCTCAGCTGTGGTCTAGTAGTCTACCTAGGGGACAAGGGCCAGAGGTCTCCTGGCCTCCTCTAGGGAAGCCAGTGAACCAGCTCCAGAAAAGCAGGGACCAGAGCCTCCATCCACTTGCAGTCGACATTTAAATCAGGACCTCGCAGGGAGCCACATGCCCCTGCTAAGGAGCAACTGGCTCCTGTCCCTGTGGGTGCCCCCTACTTTAGCTTGAGGGGCTTTGGTCTCTGCCCCCAACGCTTATACAACTTCATACTATAAACATGTACTTTGGTAGTTTGATTTCTATGGCAACAACTAACAGTTTTGAGATTATAGAGCTAAATGTGCTAGAAAATGTTAATAAAAAATTTTGTGGCAGAGCTGCTTTTGGTAATATAATAAATAGGCTGCATCTCATTGTCTCAGTACTGTGCCGTGACAATACAGCTACAGGTATTTTGTGAACAGGACCTCCCTAGGTGCTAGGCTGTGTATTAGGTATTTCAAGTATCTTTCCCTTCTCACGACTACCTTGCCAGTGGGCATGGCCGTCCGCTACTCCGACCGGGAAGCGAGTGGCTTGCACGGCAGGAGACAAGCCAGAGCACAGAGTCACGGCAAGGGCCGGCACGGGCCCAGCTGGGTTGGCCTATGCTCACTGCACCCTGCTTTCCACAAACTCTACAGAGAGGAGTCTGTGACTTGTGACCAGGACTTGCAGAGACTGTGCCAGAGAAGTGGCCAAAGAAGGAGGAGGCCTCTCCTGCTGCTGCTGCTCTGCCAGGGAGCTGCAGGCTCGAATGGGTGCAGGCCAAATGATGGCTGGATTTAACCCAAATACTGGAATCCTGAGGACACTTTCACACCCTCCCTTTACTCTGGTAGTCTTCCCAGGCCTCCAGGCCATTTCTGTAAGGCACTTAGTTTCTTCTAAAACATGGACAGTCTCCTTTTTCAGGTTACTCACCACACATGAGCTCAAAGGCAATTCTCCTGGCCTAAACCTTGGCTGGACCATGCAGGTGCTACTCACAGCCGTGCCTCCGCAGGTGAACACCCGGGAGCTGGGCTGCGGCGCTCTGTGCTTGTCCTTAGACAACAGCACTGGTCCTGCGCTGCACAGCCCCAGACTAAGACACAGCAGCCTCTGCCTCTGCCTCTGCCTCCTGGGTAAGCGTTCAGGTTACGACACGCTAACAAGATGTCAACTGGCTGCCTCTGTAATGGTCACAGCTGTCAGGCCACGTCTGTTCACTGGACAGACAGCAAGGTGCCAGTAGGTGTCTACCTCTCCTTGTCACCGGAACCACCTTCAGGTGTTCACTGCCTACCTGTTGCTTCCTCCTAGCTGAAGCTCCCTTGCTCTGCACGGCCCCACAGCGGAGAGGAGACAGATGTCCACAACGGAGGACACCCGCCCCCACTTCTGAGAGACTTGGTGGTGGAAATAAACCCATCAAGACTGCTTAACTTCTTCCTCAACCACAAGCAGTTTAACAAAATTACATAACAAAGGAAGAAAAGGCTCAGATGAGCTAACCCAAACAAGGTATTAATAGAAGTGCAGAAAAAGGAGACATGCAAAAGTAAATTTGTCTAAATATATACACACACAGAGACACAGACCCTTTCAGGGAAATGTATTTAAAAATTTATAAAGTGATCGAACACTCAACAGAACAGTTCTGTTCACTCACGCATGCCTTCAGAAAAGTGTTACGGGCCAGGCCATCTGCCATGGAGGACACAGGTGGGGGATGGGGGGAGCCACAGAATGGGGGGGCAGCAAAGCCACCCTTCTGCTTGAGAACAAAGTTAAGTGACAGCACGTGAGCTGGAATGCCCCACCCACCACGGGCGCTGTGGCCCCTGTCGGACAGAAGTGAGCACCGCCTGCAGTGGCCCAAGGCCCGGTGCCTGTGTCTCTCCTCCAGAGTAAGACTTGGACTGGTGGGGAAATATTCCCATGGGACAGATTCCTTTCCCCCCACTTGGCCAGCTTAGTTTGTTTGGAGTTGCTGTTGGAAGTTTTCTTGAGGGAATTTTTTTTCATCAGATGAGTCAAAAATGCTGCAAAAATAAGGCATAGAAGAGCAAAACCAAGCAATGAGCAAAAAGCTTAAAGTGTATAGATTTCAATTTAAATAGGAGGTAGACAGCAGGAAAAGAACACTCCAAACCAAAAGGAAAAACAGCGAGGAAGGCAAAGGCCGAGAACCCAGTCCCGAGATAATCTGCTGGTTGGAAAATGCAGATACGCAGAGGTGCTGCACTGAGGAGGTTAATGATCTGCTTCTCTTGTTAAGAAGACACAACAAAGCGAGGCTGAGGAGTTAGTAGAGATGAGAGCAGGCACAGTCTGCAGTCCTCGAGGGTTAGAGGTGCTGCGATCACTGGGCATGGCCACACCCACACAGAGGCCACCTCTGGTCTGTCCCGAGGCGAGTGCCGCTGGGCAGTGCAGCAGAGCTGGATTAGTATGCAGGAGAGCACGGTGGGCGACACAGGTTTAGAAGAGCTGGCGAGACAGAGGTGGTGGGGCAGGCGGGCGCAGGCTCCCAGGCGCTCTTACCCCGTTGCTCTGGGTGGACTGCACGGACTGCTCGCTGGCCGAGGAGCAGGTGCTCATGCGGTCCGTATCTTTGCTGGGGGCCACGTGGCGGTGTGTCTGCCGCTGGAGGGAGTCACTGTCCCCCGGGAAGGTGAAGGAGCCGGGCCGGCTGGCAGGGGATGCGGGGATGGAGCTCCAGAAGGAGCCCCCCTTTTGCAGGGGGCTGCTGGGAGGAAAAGGCTCCTTGCCGAAAGCAGAAGGGAATGTGGCAGCGAGAGGCGAGTTCAGAGGTGAGACGGCCCCGGGCCGGGGCTTGCCCAGGGGCAGTGGGCCCAGGGTCCCCCGGGCATCCTTGGCAGTTCCTTCTTGGCTTGTGCCAGCAGCACTCCCAGTGGCTTTCCTGGGGCTGTCCATCACCTTCATCTTGGGGATGGGCTCTGCTTCCCGCTCAGGACCTTCGCAGTCTCCACGCGTGGGGAGCTTGCCGGGCTGCCCAGAGCCAGCCTCAGGGGCCAGGCTGCTGCTGCTGCGGGGAGGCAGTGAGGGACTGGGAGCGGACATACCTGACATCTTGTCTGCCTCTGCCTGGCTGGAGGCTGCAGAGGAGACCAGCATGGGGGGGTGGTGTCTGACAGGCTGCGGGATCCGGGAGGGCCTGCTCCTGCTTGAGCTGGGGCCACTGCTACAGCTGCTGGGGACACTTCCGTGGCTGCTGCCACCACCACTGGAGGCCCCACCACCACTGCTGCCCCCGGCCCCGCCTCCGCTGGCCCCGCTGCTGCCGCCGCCGCCTCCCCCGCTGTGGTTCCTCTGGTACTCGATGGGTGATGTCAAGGCTACAACCAAACAAGTCACAACAGGAGACTCAGTCAGGGCAGCAAGGAAATGCAAACCACAGTGCAAAGGAAAAGGGGTGCCGTGGGATCAGAGGAAACGCAGGGTGACTAGTCATCATGACCAACAGGTGCCCATGCTGCAGACACCAGAGGCAGGAACGGCAGAGCAAATGCCTTCGTGCTTCATGCCTGTTCCCTGAAGGGTTCAAATGACTGGTGTGTTCATGGCAGCAGTAGGAGGCAGAGTGAGGGGGAATGAGAATGGTGGGAGTTCCCACAGCAGGCAGGCGGTCTTGGGGCCCCTATGCTGCGCACAGAGATGGCTGAGGGACCTGCGGCTGTCACATACAGGCAGCTACAGACTGGTTGTTTTGCAGGTCAGACTAAGCAGGCAAGGGAAGATACCCACCCTAAGTAAATAAGTAAGGTGGCCCCACTAACCACCGTGAAGGCAGGAAGCTGTCCTATCTCTGGACTTCTGTGATTTTATCACAGTCATCTGGATGAAATGAAAGAATTGTAGCACACATGACCCATGGAAATGAATTTTTCAGGTATGCAAACCTCGAGGAAACAACCATCAGATGTAGTGCTGCTCCTGGGGAGCGCTACTGGCCGTGGCCTCCCACAGGAGGGGACAGAGAGCGAGGGGAGGCCACCATGTTACTGTGGTCCCGAGCTGCCCCCAGAGGCCCAGGTGCTCAGAGGCAGGGCTCTGGGATAGAGTGCTGCCCTCGCCAGCAGACGGCCACATGGAGGAGGCCCTGACTGGACATACTGCTCAGGACAGTGCTCAGGAAGGCTGCGTTCTTCCCGCCTCTGGTGCTTGCCTGCTCGCTCCGCCAACAGGTAAATTTTGCCTGTATTTCCACTTTTGAGCCAACTGATCACACACCAAAATCTCTGAAACTGAGCTAAAATAAACCTTTTCTTCTTTAGGTTGTGCATGTCAGATATTTTGTCCTTGCAATAAAAAGGTGACTAATACAAACACCTAGACTTTCCTGCTCCATTCACAATCTTGTTTCTGTAGAATACTATGTGGGTGTCAGTAAACTTTAGCATCATAACCTAAACACGTTTGCAATTTGGGGCAGTTTATTCTATTTTATATGCAATGACAAAGGTTTGGAGACATCCAAATCCCACACTCTGAACTGATGTTGGTACTGCACACTTAAGAACAACACATGCAAAGAGTGCTTGCACTCACAGACTCTGAATCTGATGGCAATGGCCAATGTCAATGACTGTCAGGCAGCAAGTGGGACAGGAGTCTGCAGTGAGCATCTAGGCAGCTGACTGCCACTTGGCCACAACACCAGTGACTTAGGGCCTTTCACTGAGTGCCTGTGAATGGGATGTGACGTGTGGAGGTGGCTTCCTGGTGTGACATGGGGAAGAGCACAGCTGGGAGCCCAAGCTAAGAGTCTGATGGCTATTTCAAATTCAGATGCCTCGGCTTCCTCATCTGTAAAATGGGCCCAGTAGCAGCACTTGCTGCACTGGTTAGGATGGTGCCTGGAGTAAGGCTAGGGCTAGGCTCTGTCATTATTAATACACAAGAGAAGACACAGGGGAAACAGAAAGAATGCGTATATTAGTGAGGAAGACACATTGAGGGACAGAACACACGTTACCATTTAAAAAGTTGCGCTGGTTTTCTAAGATTTGGTTGATTTCATGGATCCATGTTTGCCGGACACTCGGACTTGACGAATGTAAAATGAACGTCTCTACCACATCACCCGTCCTTGATGTCAGAGCAAATTTACAGGGATCATTTTCCACATTTTCCTCCAGGCAGAGGCAGCTCACCTTGAAGGAATGAAAGCATTATTCACAACAGCTAAGAGAAGCAACCCAAGCCTCCAGACACTAACGCAGGACGGACGACATGCGCTGCACAGGCCCAGTGGTGCAAGCCCAGCTTTAATGGGGGACGCACTCACACACACACTGCAGCCTGGATGAGCGCTGCAGACCTATGCTGAACGCAAGAAGCCGAGAGGAAAAGACAAATGCTGTGTGTCTCCACTTAGATGGGGGCCCCAGGGCAGTCAAATTTGTGAAGACAGAAAGCAGAACGGGTGCTGTCGGGGCTGTGGAGAAAACGCGAGGAGGATTTTAGGGCAGCGGTGGCAAAGCTGTAGCATGTGTGCCCAGCAGGCTGGCTGTGGTGCTGAAAGCTCTCCAGGACTCATCATCACTGGCTTGGGGCTTAAGAGGCAGAGAGTGCCAGGACGTGCATCTCCCAGGGGCCTTTGCTAAGGCCTCAGCTCTGCTAACTGCCTCATCCTTGGCTTGTCACAGATTTAGTGCCATTTACAATTACTTGGTCTGTTTTTCTCTCTACTAGAGGGCAAACTATACAAAGGCAGAGAGCGTCTGTTTGCCCATCCCAAGCCCACGCCTGGCACTTGGCACTCAGAACCTCCTCGCTGAATGGGAGAAGGGAACGAGACACTGAGGAACTGCTTGCTTTGGCGACACTCCACAACTGAGCCTTTGCATTTCAATACAATTGTATTTGCAACTGCACAAACTCTACCCGGGGAGTACCTATGGCCACAGAGGTGTGTATAAAACGGCAGTTCAGGAGGACAGACAACAGAAAGGATGGGACAGACTGAGTCTCACATCCAGGAGAAGGCTTTCTAAATACTGAATAAACCAGTATCAGACTATCACCATGAAAAGGCAACAGTCTGTCAGCAATGCAGGGTGCACTCGTGAAGGAAAACTGCTCACACACAGTACCTTGATGCTGTTTTTAAACAGGAATCCTGGCATGGAAAAGCCCTTCTTTTTATCAAGTGGTTCACTGAATATGACGATCTGCTCAAAGAGGAAGACCCGCCTCTCTTTGCAGCGAGGCAGAAGCCCTGTATCTTGGTCTGTCACCAAGAACGTGTCTTGTAAGAGCAGCTTACCCTGGGCAACAATTTTACCCTAAAACAAGAAAAAGAGAGCAAAGAAGGGAAGAAAACATTGTGTTCTAAATTATTCAATATTCTTTGTTCCTTAGATCACCTCCCACAAAGTGACTTATTTTTCCCTTACTCATTCATAAAACTTAATTTCTTTCTTTTACTATGATGAACTGTTAGCTCCAGAAAGAAGAAACATCTAAATAAAAGTCTTGCTGAACTCTGTATAAGTCTCAGCCTCATTTAGAATTCGAGCGTGAGAGTGAGTTGTGAAAGGGCTTGCCTCACCCTGGAAGGTAGTTCTCTAGGTGGAAATACAGGCCTGGGGCAGCAGTCAGCGCCTCCTGCCAGGAACGCGCTGTGCTGGGGCCCTCCAGCGACTTGCTGCTCCTCAGGCCCGGGAGGCACGGCACCAGCGAAGGCTGGCACTGCAGTGAAACAGCTGGCAGGAAGCTCAACAGCTTCTATTTACTCCACGGTGAGAAAAACAAAGGACACTGCGTCTGCAGTCACCTCTGAGATTCCTAGCAGCACAGCACCTGTTAGACTGATCAAGTCTGCAGGGAAGACATAGTCTGGGGTCACCTGGGGCCCACTTTTTCCCTAGCTACCATGGCTTTATGAATGATAGGAAAGGAACCTCGGCTCTCAGGGTGGTAGAGGGCCTGAGAGACAAAGCCTAGTCCTGCCTGTCTCTTCTTCAGCAGCTGGACTCTGAGCAGAGAAGGGTCCCAAACAATGACATGCACCAAAAAGGGCGAAAGAAAGTATCAGGTTAAAATGAAGCGAGATAAGACAGAAAAATACACAGAAAGGATCAGCTTTCTACACATGCAGAAAATAAATAATCCCGGAGAAAAGAAAGGGAGGGGAGGCAGAGGAGCCCTTCCAAAGAAGAGCAGCTGTATTACATCGAATCCTTGCAGCCGGCCCACGTTCATCATGTCGTTGCAGCGCTTGGGGACTATGCACATGACCTCCACGGCTTTCTGCAGCGGGGAGAAGGCAGAGTGGACGTTCAGGTTCCCCGTGGGGAGATCAGTGTCCACCCTCCCCGACGCCTCCACATTCAGAGCCTCTCCCTCTGGCCTCTAGCGCACAGACCCCCTACCACACACACTTAGGAGACTGTTCCCTCAGCTGGGGCCCTGCTAGGGCAGAACCCAGTGTGAGGAGACTCCAGGACTTGGGGGATGAGCGCGGAGAGGGCACAGCAGGATGCACAGTACCTCTAACTCTGACGTGTCCAGGCTGGCTTTCTTGGAGTACTTGAGGAAATCCTGTAAAGGAGTGGAGAGAAGGGCGTGAGGGTGACAGTGGCAGCCTCTGTGACAGCTCGCGTTGTGTCAGGCCCTGGGCTCAGTGCAACACTGTACTTTCTTATCTCATTTTCAGAGACAAGAAGAAGGGATTCTGGTGGCCAAGGGGAACAAATCTAAGGTTCCCGCTCTTCCCCAAGATGAGCTTTTGTCCACTTCAGCTCGCATGATTTATGTGGCATTGCCTTGAATCCAGTTAATTGCTTACATTGGTTTAGGGCCACTGCTGAGCCACCTGAGCCCAGCAGAGTAACAGGCCAGAGGAGAGCTGGCAGCGTGGGGCAGGGAAACAAGGTCACTTTTACTAATCTTCTGGGGCAAATGAAAACTGTAGACAAGAGTATGAGATGTCTTACAAGACTGAGTGAGGTGGCTTTACATTTCTTACAAAATTCATCCCCTACCGGCTAAGCCCACCCTTCCCCCAACCACTCCTGCCCCGTGACTGTCCCTGGGCCTCACCTTTAGCAGCAGCTGGTATTTCATAATTCTCTGCACTGGTTTGATCAACAGGTCTGTGAGCTGCAACCTGTGGCCAAGGCGCTGCTTTAAGTCCTGGGGTGGAAAGAGAGAAAAATGATCTTAGGTGTTTCTTGTCACAAGATTTTTTTAGTTCTTCTGATAGTTAGAAAAGCTACCTACACACTGTTAATGGAACATTAAGAAAACCCAGTCGCTTTGCATTAAATCCTACTAGTGCTATGCCGTTTCTCAGGATTTCCAGTTTTTGCACTTAAACCTTTTTGAGCTGTTTTTCCAAATAAGCATTTTATATTTATTAAAATGTCTACTTAACACTGCTTTTACTCATACAAACATATGTCATACTTAAATTTTTAGGCAAAAAGGTTAGGAATTATTGTAAAACTATAATGAGCCTTAAGTTTAGATTGGTAAAAACTCTTATTTTTAATGACAATTCTAGTCTTCTGAATGGTGAGGGTATGACCATAAACTAATTCATACTTGTTTTGATTTCTAAAAAAGAAATATACTGATAATTCTTACCACTCATGCTGAGTTTCTGAGGGATACTTTAGTTTTTAGAAACTGAAATGTAACAAAGATTCATAAACTCTGTTTCGGTACTGGTTCTTACCTCAAAAAAGGTATCGATGTATTCTGAGACAATGTGCTCCGACTTTGGTTTATTTTGACAATAAACTATGTACATGTGCAACCTTCTCTCCTAGGAATGAAGAAGGCAGACAAAGGGGCTTAAGCAGTAACAGTGGTGTTCAACAGAGTGCAAGAACAATGTGCATTTCCACGAACTCATAAAGGGTATCGCCCTCACACTAAGCTACAGCGCTAAGGCAGAACAGCAGCTTCTGGACGCATGACTGACCAAGGCAGGGACCCCTAAGGTCCGGGGCTGGCAAATGTGGACAAAAGGACATACTTCTTAACACTGGACAGAGCATCACAGCTGCCCCTGCATGGCCTCCCAGCATCCCGGTAGGCCAGCCTGTTCTCAGGAGGTTACGAAAAGGTGCCACATCCCAAATCCTGGGAGTGTGGTATCAGACTCCTTGGGCTCTCAGGCGTGTCAGTGGTTTTGCTCTATATTCACAGCAGCGCTGTCACTCACCTCTTTCCCGGCACTGATGCCTGTGCTCGTGAGCAAGGCCGGTGGTGGGTGAAACTGCTGGCACTGTAGCAAGCATTCTTCATTGCCACAGATTTGCAGTTAAGAAAACCCAACTTTGGCTCAGAATGCCCTTGAGGAGTAAATGTTTCTTGTCTAATTAAAAGCCCACCACGGAGTGCACATCTTTTGAACCTTGTCACAACACAACAGACGCCTGCACCATGCCTCTGCTTTGTGGGAAGGCACCGTGTGGTGGCACCGCCAGCCGAGTCAAAGGCTGGCCATGCATTGCCAAGTTTACTTGAAAGGATGATGGACACAGACTATATTTCTCTGCACTCGGCTGTCAGCTAGACATTTTCTTAACATGGATGAAATAAGCCTGTCATTTCAAGGCAAACAGCTGGCAGTGCATGTGAATAATGAGAACTCCAGCAGTCAAGGAAAGAATTTGAATTTTGGGAAACATGTGTCTACCACTCTGAACCTGACTATGCCCAGGCTTTCCTCAAGAGACGGGTAGTGATAGCAGAAAGCAGTATGAAATGAGTATCTGCATGGCCTGCCTTTGTCAGAGACTCCTTTCAGCTGCCCTGTGTCCAGGGAAAGCACCTGTGGACACAACAGGGCAGCTCCACAGAGCTCTGGGCAGCGAGGGACAGGCTGGGGGACAGGGCTCCAGATTCCAGGCTGCACTGACCCTGAAGCAGCTACTGCTTAAACCAGCCTCCGAGGATGATAAACAAGAGGGGATTTAATCCGCAACTCTCTGAAATGGTCTAGCATGCTTTTACTCTTGCAAACTACAAGAGATCTCTCCTTTAACCTGCTGACTAAGTAAGACAACATCAGAATGCAACGTAATACTACTGTACTCACGTGTTTAACAAAAAGGGAGCCTAGTTTTTCTGGATCTTCAAGGCACTTCTCTAACTCTCCTAAAAAAAAGCTGGGAAGAGGCAAAAGTATCAGAATCATTTCCAAATTGGTGTTCTGATTTAGATTTAGGTTCACATTTTCTAAACAGTCTATTTAGATACAGGCACCTGGGAAGAGCTCAGTACATACCAACAAGTATAAACCACACAGAAAGCATTTCGTTAGGACCTGAAGAAAACATAGACATAGTTGAGAAAGACAAGGCAGAAATGAGAGCACCTGCAGATGGCAACCTGCCCTTCTGGAGGGCCAGTACCATTTCTTTGATTTTTTTATAAAAAAGTTTTAATGTATTTGGTTGTTGTAGGGTCTCACTGTATAGCTCAGACGCATGGTGATCCTACTTTCAGCCTCCACAGTGCTGGGTTGTGGGCATGCACCACCATGCCCAGTCTCGGTAGCTGGCTCAGCCTGTCCTGGGGGCAGTGTTGGCACAGTATATGGTACTGGGGATTGAACCCCAGTCTCTGTGCTTGCCTAAGCTTGCCTAAGCAGGTGCTTTCGTCCACTGAGCTATCTCGCCAGTCCTATTACCATTTCTTATTGCCACTTTTTTTTTTTTTTTTGGCGGAGCTGGGGATTAAACTCAGGCCCTTGCGCTTGCCAGGGAAGCGCTTATTCCACTGAGCCAGCTCCCCAGCCCCTTACTGCCACTTTCTTAAGGATACACGCACTAGTACTGCTCACTGATTTCTAAGAGAAAAAGCAATGTCCAAAGCATTGTCCAAAAAACAATGTCCAATTTTTGTTTCTGAAAACTTGGTCTCCATAGCTATGACCTTCATGGTTATAGTATAATAATTTTTAAGGCTCAAATGTAGAACAAATGTAAAATATTGAATATGTTATTTACAACAGCTTTCTGAAATTTTCTCAAGTATCAGAATCAACCTTTAGGCTATAACTGTTAGCTCCTATTAATACTTTTTTTTAATTTTTAAAAAATATTGATTTGGTACAGGGTCTTGCAATGTAGCTCAGACTTGTAGTGATCCTCCTGTCTCAGCCTCCCCAGCGCTGGGATTACAGGCATGCGCCACTATGTCTGGTTTCGGTAGCCAGCTCATGGCAGGGCTGGCACAGCATGCAGTATTGGGGATGGTACCCAGGTTGTTGTACTTGCCAGGCAGCCGCTTAGACTGCTGAGTTATCTCCCTGGCCCTCCTTAATTTTAATAGTATTACAATTAGTTATAATTAGCCAGGTAAAGAGTCCTATGCTTGTGAGCTCAGCACTCAGGAGAAGGCAGGAATATTGCCCTGAGTTGGGGCCAGCTTGGGCTTCACAGTGAGCTTAGGGCGGGCCTGAACAACGCAGTGTGGCCTTTTCTCAATAAGTAAGTGAATAAATAAATATTAGATATAATCACAATAACAAAATAGCTGAAGGAACATTGCTTTTCACTTCTTATAGTTTTTTTTTTAGTAGTATGTTCGCTTTCATAATCATATGCTTATACTTATATTTGGCATTTCATTAGCCTGTAAACCAGCACAATTCAGGCTGTATGCAACTTTGCAGTGCTGTGGTGTCACAAATCCCCAGCCCTACAGATGCTGTGGCAGGCAGAATCTGCAGATAGAATTTCTGTCCAGTTATCCCAGGAGTATCATTTATGCTTCTATCACAGCCTTACAAACCAGTCTAGGGAGTAGAAGACTAAATAACAGTATAAACATCCTTCTTCAATTTGTTTCACAGTGTTTCTGGGGAGGGACAGTCTACAGAGCTATAACGTGACTTACGATGTCAAGTGAATTTGACATTGCCAGGGCTATAAAAATAAAGACCTCCATTCCTGGGTGCAGAGGTTTTACATTCCATTTGGAGAGATAACAGAAAACTTCATACACACCACATTGATACCTCCTTATATTCATAGATATTCTGCAGCTTAAGGGCACAGCTACATTTGTTGTCTGAAGAAGAGAACCATCTGACTGGCACAGCCAGGCCTAGTGGAGAAGCACTTGGCCTCAGCGTTAAGGGAGAGCAAGGCTTTGCAGGTGGGGCCAGCATCTTCCAGCAGTGGGAGCAACCCTGTGCAGCGGACAGCAGGAGCAGCCCTGCCACGCACATGCCCAGAGCCTGTAGCTGGATGTCCCACTGTAAGTAGGTGGCTAGCAGTAAGAAATCCCCAGGAAGTTAAGGATTTTTATTATTATTTCTTTAATGTATTTGGCACAGGGTCTCACTATGCAGCTTGGACTTGCAGTGTTCCTATTTTCAGCATCCCCAGGGCTGGGATGACAGGCGTGCACCACCACTCCTGGTCCTGGTGGCCAGCCGAGTGCACCCGGGGCAGGGCCGGCATGGTATGTGGTGCCCGAGATCGAACCCCGGTCTCTATGCTTGCCTAAGCAGGCATTTAGTCCACTAAGCCATCTTGCCAACCTTGACAATTAAGGGTTTTAAAAACTACAACCAAAGATGACTCAAAGGGACCATTACATAGATGTTCTCAGTGCTTTATAAGTATTAACTCAGCCACTCTTCATGACACCTCAGTAAGGGGGTGCAGAGGAAGAACAGAGGCGCAGAGCACGGAAGCCAATGACTGGAGGTCAGCGCTAGGCCAGGTCTAGGCTGGTGCCTCCAGCCCGCACTTCTAGCCCCTCCCTGGCCAGCGTCTTGAAGCACAAGCACGAGGATGCTTCCCTATGCCATGAAATGCTACTACAAAGCTCCCTGGTACAGCAGCATGTCCTCCGCACAGCTTGCTCTGGGAGGCCACAGGTAAGAAAACAGAACCACGCCTGCGTGCTCCTTTCCCACTGCCTTGCCCGGCTGCAACTTGGCGTGGATGCTGCGCCCATCACCCAACGTGACGTGCTCTACGTACTCTCTGTGCCAGTCATAAATCTGATGGATGTTGCCAAACACAATCTTGTCTTTTCCCTTCATGTCATCAGGAACACCATCTTCTTTCATAAGTGCCATGTAGCCCTGCATGGGACGTTTAAAATAAGGCTATTTACTGAGTATCCTGAATCAAGTATGAGTTACCGACTAACCATCACCCGATAGAACAGGCTTTATAAACTGGCTTTTTAACAACAGCTGACTGCATATAGTGCCACACTGTGCATTAAAACTTCCACCTGACTAGACTGGCATTTAGCCTGCATAAGGATCTCTGTGCTGTTTAATCTATGTCCTTATTGTTCACCGTGACTGCAGACTATAAGTTAAGTGGCTTATGTTGCACAAGTAGTGAAGAGCTGCCATTTTCAGTGGAATGTGCGACCAAAACTACTGTCCTGCACATATTTGCACAAGTGGAGGATTATTAATATGTTTGTATGCTTAACTTACTGGTAAAAAAGGCAGTGGTTTTGCTATGGCTACACAGGGCTCAGCAATGTCTCGTCAAGGAAAATGGCAACACATTTATTCTGTGGCTGTGAGAAAACATGATGCTGCCACACCAAGCTCTGAATACACAGATTCAAGATGTAACCAAACAGAGAGGAGGCCAACTGACTCTTTCAACCAAGGATGTTACCACTTCTCTGGTGACATCTGTTCTTGAAAAACAATTAAAAGCAAGAGTGCTGTATGCTAACTAGAAAATTACTGGATATAGTCATTTAGAAACTTGATAATATATTTGTATAAATCATACTAAGATACAGTATGCAGAAGAGTTTTTACAGTTGACTATAGATTGCTAAGGTAACTGGTTAAATTTTTTTAGAAATGCTCTCTTGGCCATTTTGCTGTTGCTGGCAAAAGTGAGACGCTTTAATGTGAGAAGGCTATCACTGTTAAACTGCCTGAAGCCCCACTCTTTGGTTAACTCTTGGGACTGCCATAGCTAGGGCACTTCTGAAAATACGCACCTCAACTACACAGCCAAGGTCTCGTACATAGTCACGCTCTGTCTCCACTAATTCTTGCAAAACATAGCTAGAAAAGAAAAATATTTGTAATCCAAACTTGTTTTTGAAGATACTCATCTTTGGACTATACAGTAAGGTATCACATTCACACAGCTGGGACTTACAGTCCAGGTGTCCCAATCACAGGTTCAAGCGAGGGACCCAGGGAGTCCTGAACCTCAGAAGACACTCACGCAGACACACATGCCTTGGCACACCTGGGGTTGACGCCGTATGAGATTCTGATCTCGCAGAGGGACAACGAAAAGAAGCTTGGGCTTAATTCTTTTATAGAGCATGAAGTATGGGAAGCAGCCTTTTTTTTAAATGATTAAGTTATTTCAAAGATCAATGGAGACACAGAAAAAAAATTTAATTTACATGGCTAAAGTCTTGGATCTGTGTCCATCACTCAAAAGTATATGATAATGACCTTTATGAGGATTTAAGATAAATAAAAGAATCTGACAATGGCAAAATGGTGTTCTGGTACAGGGCAACAACTGATTTGGTATGTGTTATGTACACGTCCCAACTCCTCATAATTAATGTAATTATTATGTACTGCAAACATGGACTTAAAAGAAGTGTTTGTGGGGGCCAAGGAGATGGCTCAGTAGAATAAGCACTTCCCTGGCAAGTGCAAGGGTCTGTGTTCAATCCCCGGTTCCACCAAAAAAATAAAAATAAAAATAAAGAAATAAAAGTGTTTGTGAGGTTCAGTACTAAAATGACAGTGGACAATTACTTGATCAGGATAGTACACTATTTCAGTTGGCCTGAAAAACTTCACTCATTCATTCATTCCTTAACCAGCATCAACATGATACCATCTCTGTGTTAAATGCCAGTCAAGGTGCTGGGACGTATTTCTGAATAAAACCAAGTACATGCCCTCATGCGCTTTACAGTTTCTCTCTTCCAGAGGTGAATTTAAACTGTTTGTAACTTATTGTGAGCTGCTTTATAGGAGTTGAAGAATACTACCACCAAGTCATATTTGAAAAACTGGTCATATTTTTTGAGACTGGTTTGAACTTTATATTGTCTTTCTTTCATGGCTATACATATACAATAGAAAGTACAGGAGCTTTTTACCTCGATGGACAGAAGTTATTCTTGCCTGGCATCACTTTTAGCTATAAATTGTAACAGACAAATAAAAAAACAGAAATTGCAGCTGTGGCTTACTGTACCCTTATGAGGTTCTGTGAGCTTTACACACACACAAACACACACTACTCACTAGGAGCCCCTGAGCCTGCTTTTTGCTAATCCAAAGATGAGTCCTAATCTCCGTTCTGAAGATAACAAAGGAGGGAACCTGGAAAATAATAGAATGAAAACATTTCTCTCTTACTGCCGTCTCTTTAAGGAGCTGGATTTCCTTTCTTCCATCTCATCAATGGGCGAAGAAGAAGAGAGAAGGGAATTGTCTGAAGGGTTGAAGGATGGACTGCTACTGTCTCCCTGGTCAACCAGGAGTGAGCTAGGACGATCCTCCAGCGCCTGGAAGACATTCACATGATCAGTGATGGCGACTGCCTACTGTCCATGACAGGCTGAAATTAGGCTATAAAAATCTAAGACAGAAGACACAGACGTGTTGTCAAATTAGAGCACCTCACCAAACACCTGTTTTGGCGCTAGTATATTAACGTCAGTAATACTCATCCTATTTTTCCCTTCATAGTAAAAAATAGAATCTGACCTCATCCTAAGCAGAGCTTTGAGGACACAAAGTCTGTTCATGCAGTCTTGGTAAAACTCACATGCTTAAAAAATACACCACCTGCTGCTGCTTACAAAAACCTGGCACTAAGGCAATTAAAGAAGTTTAATCAAAAGCTATATTCTTGCAAATAAGCAACTGTACTGGATGCAGACACTGGGCCACGATGATCAGAGCTGCGCCACGCTCATCTGCTCAGGTGCTTTTGCTCTGAATTCTGTTCAAAAGCAAATGGTAGAGACAACTGCTCCATGTTTCCCTCCTGCAGGTCAGAGTGCAAGGAGGTAATGCTGGACTCTGCTGGTGTCTGTGGGGACATCTTTAGGACACGAGCAAGTGCCAGGACCAGAAACCGTGGCGTCCAGCCCCTTCGAGCCGCCTGCCCTCTGCTGTGCCTTCATGGGGCTGGACAGCTGGAAAGGGCGGAGGCCCGGAGAAGACTCGCTGCCTGTCATGGTGCTGAACTCCCACCATGTGTGCTGCTCATCATCAGGGGAAAGTCTAACAAGGTAGCCAACACGGCCTGTGATGTCTATGTGCCTGAGTACCTACAGGTACCAAGGCGTCACCAGCACAAAGGTGCCTGAGAACTGAACCCCTGGGATGAATTACTCCTGAAGCTCTCTGTGCTTGGTCGTGTTTTGTAGGTGGGTCCTCCTCATCTTTCTGTTTCTCATGTGAAGATGGATCTCCAAGGTTAGTTCTAACAAATGCTTTTCTTAGGACTCCCTTCCCCACCCTTTCATCCAGGTTTTATATCAGACTTACTTTTTTTTTTTTTTTTTTGAGATGGTCTCACTATGCAGTTTAGGCTGGCCTTGTGCTCGCTTTTATAGCCCCCAGGCTGGGCTCACTCACAGAGATCCTCCTGGCTCAACCTCCTGAGTGCTGGGATTACAGGTGTGTGCAACCACACCTGGTACAGGGCTGAACGGTGGGCACCCAGATCCAGAGCTGAGACAGTGTGCGTGGGGATCTGGGGCTGATACTGCATGGCATGTGGGGTGGGGGAGTCGAACTTGAGTCCTTGTGCTTGCCAGGTAGGTGCTTATGCCTCTGAGGTATCTCTCCAGCCCCTCAGACTTACTTTCAAAGGGTTGAATTATCTTACAAATACTTCAATTTCCTGTTTACTCCTCCTGTATATTTCCACAATGTTGTGAACTTATGTACTGATTTTCTCTTTCTGGAGGTTAACACATTGTGGTTTCAATGTGCTTGTTTTCTAGCTCATTAATTTCTGCATTAACCTGCATGAATTCACTTCATTTCCATTTATTTTGCTGTTTTTCTAACATTTTGACTTTTAAATGTTATTTGTTTTCATTCTTCTATTTTCCTTCGTATCTTGATCAGGGCAAAATGCCCAAAATTAAGTTTAAGTAGTCACTGAGACACAGATAACTACTACTGTTTTGCCAATGCTCAGGAAAGATGCGAAGCCTCTAAAATAACCTGCATGGTCTTTCTGGGAGTGCTATGAAGCAACACTTGTCATTATTCTGCAAATAAGTGTGTATGTATATATTTATTTTTTGAGACAGTGCTTCATTATATAGTTCAGGCCTTGAATTCATAGTGACTCTCCTGCCTCAGCCTCCCGAGTGCTGGAGTGTACCACCACACTAGGCTCTCCAAGCCCCTAACCTGCTTTCCAGGGATGGGGAGACAGCTCAGCAGTCTAAGTGCCTGCTTGGCAAGCACAAGGACTCAGCTTCGATCCCTAGTACCGTACACTGCGCTGGCCTTGTAATCTCTGGGTGTTGCACTGGCCACCGAAACTGGCCATGGTGGCACATGCCTGTAATCTCAGTTCTGGGGAGGCTGAGACAGGAGAAGGATCACTATGAATCTGAGCTGTGCAGTGAGACTGTGTATCAAATAAATAAATAAAAGATTAAAAAAAAATTAAACTGGGCCGGCAAGATAGCTCAGCAGACTCAAGCACCTGCTTTGGCAAGCACAGGGACCAGGGTTTGATCCCCTGTCCTGCACACTGCGCTGGCCCTGCCCCAGGGGCACACTAAGCCAGTGACCTAGCCCAGGCATGGTGGTGCACACCTGTAATCCCAGAGCTGGGGAGGCTGAAAACAGGAGGATCACCATGAGTCTGAGCCACATAGTGAGACCCTGTACCAAATACACAAAATGAAAGAAAAAAAATTAAACTGCCTTCCACTGTAATTGTATGCAACTCAGGGAACAGGTTTCATGGTAGCTTTTCGCTTTTCATTCTAAGCTTCAGGTTTTAGGTTTAAGGATGTTCAGTTCTATAGACATCATGTAAAGTTGAGTAGCTTCTCCCTTCTCCCCAACCCAATAAATTAATACATGGCTTTTCATGGAAAATTAATTGAGTGTTCAAATCCAATCAGGAATGTGCTGTAGCCTCTGAGACCACCCTTCAGACAACAAACAGGATGGTGAAGCACTGACAGCAGAGACTGGAAGCAGGATAGGTAGAGTGATTCTGAAGTCATTCCCTAGAGCTACTGGAACAGTACTTCCTGTATGACATCAGATGATTAGTGACAAGAGGTACAGCCCTGCAAAGCTGCATCTTCCTGAAGCCAGACAGGGAAGGAGTCCAGGTTACACTTGAGGGCAGCGTCAGAAGGGAGGAATCTTCCCTATACAGCATAAATGTGACCTTCCCCATTGCTTAAAGCCCAACGGAACAGAGCCTTGGTAGCACCTTAACAGCAGCACCCTATTTATGATCCCTAGTTTGCAAAAAAGACAGGCTTGGAGAGGCTGAGGGACTTGCTGGTGAGACTCAATTCTAGGGAGGAGACTTTGGACTCAAGTTGGTCAACCTCTGAAACACTACCGCACCAGCTTTGTGTCTGGTGACCTAAGAGGTACAAGTGAGAATGATTTTGTTTCAACTGAGTGAACAGAGAACATGTCACTCCTCAGGACTGAAGGAGGACAAGCCAGTAAGAATGAAAGCGACTATGCCAAAGACCCTGTTTCCACCTTGAAGTCCTCTCATGAACAACTTTCAGAGACACTGAAAGTGGAATGATCCTTGCAGGAAAGCCAAATGCTGTCTCTCACAGTGCCCTGGGGAAAACATTTCAATGGTTACATGTGAATAATGTAACAATCATGTAACTGATGGGCGAGAATTGCTTTTTAAATGTTCATGGATGTTTGAAAATTGTGGATGCAGTTTAGGCACTTTTCATTTATGACACTGATCAACTTGTCTCGTTGACAGTAGGCAGCAAGAACATGGCTGCAACTTACTTCATATTCACATGATTTCAAATTCTTGACTACTGGAGTCTAAGTTCTTATCTTCCATCCTAGCAAGCTTCCCGTGGAACTTGGTCATTCACTGTGTCTTGTCCAGAATTATGTGACTGCTCAGGAAGAAATTTCTAGCTACATGAGGGCGACACCTATAGTCTGATTCTATCTTACCCATAATGTATATCTATATCTGATGTAGCCAAGCAGTTTACTGGAGGGTGTGATGCTTGTATGTGTGATTAAATGGTATATCTAACTTCTGGTTAGTATAAAAATAGAGAAAGATAAACTCCTAAATTCCTAACTATATTCCTTGATCTAGCAATTCTTTTTTTTATTTCTGGCACCAGGAATTGAACTTAGGACCTTACACGTGCCAGGCAGGTGCTGCACCACTGAGCTGTATCTATATCCTTGTCCCTGATCTGACAATTCTAATGATGGAGACTGATCTTATAGATATAATCACACTTGTAATAAACATGAATATTGTACTGAAAAACTGAAAACAAATGTATACGAGGCATTTGTTACGTAAGTTGTAATACAATTACATCACCGTTCCTTATTAGCTGGTCAAAGTTTTAAGTGGTCTGTGCGACTCAGTTCCCCCACGGAAACTGTAAAATGGGATCATGCATGCCTGCTAACTGGGCCACTGGGAGGACTGGGTAAGTTATTGAGTGCCTGGTTAGGGTGGTATCTGGCTTTGGGCAGGCCTTTGGTGATGCTATAATCATCTCAGTCATCACAGTTATTGAAAGGAAAAGCATTTATACACACTGCTGTGCATACTAAGTCTCAGGGTCCTACACGTGGGATGACGGCATTTCTCAAGAATATGCCAGCAAGGGAGATGTCCAAAGGGAAACACGCCAAGGTGCACAGCGGTCATGCCCCGAGCAGGTCAGTGGTGGGAGCTGAGGGCTGATTTGGGGAAGGTGGCTTTCCAAAGATGATAAATACACTTGCACAAGTAGTGGGGCATATTTGCTTAAAAGGTTAACACTGTGGCTTTTCCATTTTATTTTTAAGAAAACCAAACAGATAGATGGGCATAACGACACACTTCTTAACTCCAGTACTCTGGGAGAGTATGGCAGGAGAACAGAACGTCTAAGCCCACCCTGAATGCCTTTGTGAGGTATACCTGAAAACTAAAAAATTAAAAAGGGCAGGGGTGTAGCTCAGTGTTAATCCCTGGGTTTAAATTCCTACTACTGAAACAACAAAACTGAAAATATTCATTGATTTGGATCAGTCAGAAGCAATGTATGCTTGATTAACTTCAAAGAACATATGGCCCTGCCACAGGGCATGCTGAGATGGCGACTGAGGCTGGGTGTAGTGGTGCACATCTGTAATCCCAGCGCTTGGGAAGCTGAAAACAGGACGATCACTATGAGTCCGATCTATGTAGTGAGACCCTGTAAAGCCCTGTACTTTAAGGGGTGGGGGAGAACATTTAATTTGGGGCTTTTGTAAAGTTGATTACCATGCTAATCAACTGATAACATAGGACTCTCTTAAGGAAAAATAGACTTATGCAATAATGGAAAAAGATGTTCTTGGAGACAGTCAAAGAAAGCGTTGAAGCCCAGCGTGGGTGCCACGGACCAGGCTGACGGGGTAGGGATGCCCAGATTTGCTGTAACTCCAGGCAAGGTGTGTAGTGAGAGGTCAGCCTTACACCAGGGAGGCTGGTTGCGCTTGATAACAATGTCTTTGGTGACCTCGGGTCTTGGGTCAACGCAGAAAGTGCATACCAGTGATGGCAAACCTCTCAGAGCTTCAGTGATACAGCCTGCCGGGGAACGCAGGCAGGTTTGCCACCACCGGCAAAGCGACTTACACTTACAGTGGACAACTGAGGCCACGTGGTATCTCAAACTCCAAAGCGGTAGGAAACTCAGGTCAACCACTGGAGCAGTAGAATACACACACACACACACACACACACACACACACACACACACGTGACTGAGTCCAAATGAGAGGCCTGAATGCTGAGGCGCAGGTGGGCTGCCATACCAGCAGAGTGCTCTCTGCGTTGTGGACAGGGTTGCAGGAGGTGTGTGCTGCTGGATGAGTGGAGGCAAGGCCCTGGCCCCAGCATCTCTTGACCCTCTGGGCACCTGCTATCTAGGCCTCTTTTAACCCAAGTCTTCACATCCAGTGAGCTGTAAGTGTGGGACTGGTGGCTGTCCCGAGTTCTGTGAGTCCTTCTGACACGCTGGTGAGCCTGAAGGCGGCTGCAGGGACCCCATAGTCACTGTTGGTCCCTGAGGGTGGCCTGGTGGCCACAGGTACATCCTGCAGACCCTGGCAATAGCTCCCGGCCCAAGCACCTCTGGAAAGCTTACCATCTTGCTCTTCACGAGTTCCTCAATGGCACTGACGAGTTCAGCAGCACTTGGCGTTTCGGAGCTGGTGGGGCGGACAAGTAACCGAGAGGAGGCCTATGAAGAGGTTCAGCAAGAGACAGGGGAAGGGGAGGCCTCCTGTTAGCAACCGGACAGACTGTGAACCCCCACAAGCTCCAGCTCTTTTCAAAGTAACTTCAGACCAAAAGACCACAAGTTCGTCTTTGTTTGCGTTTATTTAGAGTTGTCCTTTTACGTTTACAATATTCTGACAGGAAACATTAACGCCTGTCTGGGTGCATGTGGAAAGTGGACCATATCCACTTTTAATCCTCAGGCCTGAAACATGACAACATTTCCAGAGCGGTGACTGGGCATGGGAGAACCCTAACTGCCACCTCTGCACCTGCTGGCTAGGCTCCAGGCTAGGGAGAGAGAAACAGTGGTCAGCAGAAGAGCGAAAGGCTTCAGGTCTAGGGGTGAAACCTCAAATAATCGGGAAGCGAAACAGGGTATCAACAATGGCTTCACTGTGCTTATAGGATTAAGAGAAGGAAAAACGAGAAAGAAAAGGAAAGGAGCCAGGGCACAGTGACCAGACAGGGACGAGGGGGACAAGCTCACCATTTTCTGTGCCATCCATTTCCCCAATGCTTAGTGCAGAGTACAGAAGAGCTGAGGCCTCACAAGCTATCAGACGCCACTTATGGCTAGAATCCAGGGTGTAACGGGGTCGACAGGAAGGAAATCTGGGGGAGGGGCTACTAAGTTTGAGTTTCAGTAATTGGCAAACATGGTATGTTTGCAGATTACTTGCACCGTTGGTTAACCGGGAACTAGAAGGGGGCATAAATAATATGAACCTTGCTTCATATTAAGGACAGCAGAGATGCATGCGACACACGGCTAGCTGTCCTAGCGATGCATTGCTCACGGAAGACAGGTACAGATTTATACGCTTACAACAAGGCTTTTTACATATGTGGGTTGAAATATGCACTTTACAAAACAAATGTCAGTTTGGTCTAGTGGAATTTGGAATATGGGGTGAAAAAAAAAAAAAGAAAAAATTCAAATGGAAAGGTAAGGAAATTGAGCCAAAACAGACACAGAACACAAATCAACATAATGCTGCAGTGAAAGTTTACAAAAAGAGAAAACAAAACAAAACAAAATATTAGTCACAATATAATATACTGTCTAGGAACAGCACTACAGATTTTTGTAAATGAAGAATTGCTACTGATAATACCCAATGAGGTAACACGGTAACCAATAAATGATTTCAGCAAACATAAGAATACAACACAATTCTTTAGATGGAGCGGGAAAGAACCCTCTTATTTGGTGAGTAAGTAAACGAAGCCTCATTGTTTGGACAAGCACATAAGATCTAAGAAATTCTGGTTTTCTGCTTATAAAAAAGGATAGTATATGGGGTTATAAAACAGAAACTATCAGACAGATCACTTGGTGCCTAGTCACTGTAGCACAGGCACCGAGCTCTATCTCGACCCGGCATCCCCTTCCCTCTCCCCACCACAGAAAATGGGGTCTGCAGCTCAGCTGCATAAAACCAGGAGGGCTCAAGCCCAGCGAAGAGCCTCATGCTCAGGCCCATAGCTCACTGAAGGAAGGAGGAGGTGGGCTTCTACAGCAACATGTGCTTTGGGTTAGGACAGCACTGGGCACGGACCTGACCTCGCGGCTGCAGCCCCTAACTATGCAGATCCTGGGCTGTCAGCCACAGGGCAAGTGACTGCGCCAGGACTGACCAACAAGGGAGTCAGGGCGGCGAGAAGGGAAAGGGTAGAGAAAAATACATAGAAAACACAGCTATTTTATTTAGAAAACTTAGTTACTGCCTAAGTCAAAACCTAGCAGAGACTTCAAAGCATGACTTCTAACACCTACAAGAGTGAGGGGGCACAAAGGAACAGAATGCTAGGCCGCATAAGCAAGCCATGGTTACCAGGTTTCCTCTTTGGTATTTATTTCCAGGGTTCTTCCATTTAAATGAAAAAACAAAATTATGTAAGAATTCATAACAGATTTACATGGCTTGAAGCCTCTGCCTGAATGCAAAGAGGAGACTCACTGCTCTGGGCTGGTCCCTATACTTAGCGATGTAGTCCCACAGTGGATGCTGGCAGTGGGCCTGCAATCACGCTCAACATGTTGAAAAATGTAACTGGATAGGGACCCAATCTTAAAGTGCAGCCCATGTGCAAAACACCTCAGAGCTAAAACAAAAACTACTACCTCCATTATTCATTTAATGCTGCGTTCCAGCAAACTGCACAGGGTTTCTCTTTTCTCTCAGGGACTCTAATATATCTAGAAGCTTAAACATTACTTTAAAGCACAAATTACTGAAGCATCATTAAGATGTACTGAACATATCCATATACCCAACGGGTGTGAGAAACTGCACAGTTGGCCTAGTGCTTATTCTAAGTGGACACACTTTATCCTCCTGGGTCACAAACATGCTGCTCTGCCTTGGAAAGGACCAGGCTGCCAGTGCCTGGTCCACGTCCCTGGGGTCTCCTAGCTCATGCAATGAGTCTGGGGAGGAGCAGTTTCTGAAAGGGCCCTGCCCCTGGCACCGAAGCATGGGGTCCCCGTACCTTGTCGTCCTGTGAGTCTGGCTGGAGGAGGCTGTGCTGCTGGATGGCCATGGGCGGGGGCAGCGGCACAGCGTCAGCGCCCTCCTCCCCTTCCTCCTCCCCGCAGCTCTGCATCCCTGAGGAGGAGGACTTGGAGAGTGTGCCGCTGCTGAGGCCCTCGTTCCGGCCTCTCTGAAATCAAATTCACATTTGCTCATTACATGCAAGGCCACAACTGCGTGTCAGTCTAGGCACTGGGTCCCAAGGGGTTAACTGGAAGAGCAGGGTGAGGGCAGAAACAGATGACCGGAACCAAGAACAGGTTCTTTGGACTCTGAAGGTGGCCTCCCCTTCCTGTGCTGCAATCCAACCACTTGTTTACCATCTTGAATAAACAGAGGACCATGAACCTGTCAAATGCAATGACTGCTAACATCACGTATCTCCATGATGCCCCCCAAAAGGTTCAGGAATCTGAACCATGCCCTCACATCTGTGGAGTTCCTTTCCTTAGATTACCTCCTGAGGGTAAAATTCACTGAAGTAGTAAGGGCATAAAGGCAAGTACAATTCAAGATGTGAATGGAAGTAAGCATCACATTCACTTTTCTCTATTTTTTTGGGGGGGGGTTGGGGGGCTCAGCTCGCCCTGAGGGCAGGGCTAGTGCAGCCTGTGATGCCGCAGTCTCCTGTGCCTGCCTAAGCTTGCTTAAGCAGGCACTTTAGACCACTGAGCTATCTCAGTGGCCCTTTCTCTACTTTTGCTTATGAAAATATTCAGTTTTAGCTCTATTAAGAGAACACAGATCTATCAAACATAGTTAAGTCTACAATGACCCACCTATTCTAGTAAAAGCCCATGGCAAAATATCCTCAGGAAAAAACCTAGCAGAAACTGCATGTCTGACAAATCAAAGATATGAGCTAACTCCAATCCTCTTTGTCTCTGCCTTGTCTCTTTCAAATTTGCATGGAATTTGAGGGGGGTCCGAGTTTGAAACTGGGCGCTTCACCAACACCTTCAGTGCTGAAGGATGTTTTAGCAGTTGTGATGGAATTCTACTTCTTGGAGTATAATTTAAAATCCCCAGGACAAAAGGAAATAGGAAAATTCCTGGCTGGCCTTATCTCTTATCTTTGGTGACATGGGAACGGCTGTTTATTTTTTAGGCAGCAAAGACATGAACTGAGTATTCTGAATTTAGATAAAGATTTAAGTATAAATTTTGGTAAGGTGTGGGACATAAACACTTCACAGATCTTTCCAAGTTTAAAACTTGGCTTCGGCAGCAGAAGGCTGCCATGGAGTCCCAGTAACCTGGGACACCTTGGCAGACACTGCATGGCCAGTGCTAGCGATGTTTGCAGGTAGTACTGGGGCTGCCGCAGCACTGGGACGCAGGCCAGGGCTGAGGGGACTCCAGAAGTGCAGCTGTTAATCCCCTCTACACTGCTAAGTGGAGAAGGTAATGGGAATATGTGATGCTGGTGACTTCTGGACAAACCACAGGTGTAACACAGAAAACCAACGTAACAACTTGAGAGAAAAACTACTGGCGAGGTCCCAGCCTTGGCCTCAAGAGTTCATATTATTTTTAAAGATTTTTTTTTTTTTTTTTTTTGTGGAATTGGGAATTGAACTTAGGCTCCTGCACTTGCCAGGCAAGTGCTTATCCTACTGAGCTATCTCACCAGCCCCTGGCCTCAAGAATTCAACGGCAACGGCCACAGAGACCCACCTCCTCGACAGTCTCGTCCTGCGGGGTGGCAGCGCTGTCATCTGAGTCCTTCTGAGAGCCTGCATCGGTGCTTTTACGAACTTCCCTGCTCTTCTTGTGCTTGTGGGCCAGCTTCTTCACGTGCCCGTCAGCCTTGCCGCTGCTGAGCCGCCGCACGGGGCTGGTGAGCCACTTGCGCAGGGTGTTGCCTGGCCGTTTGGGGCCTGGGGAGCTCTGAGCCCCAATCATGTGGGGCTGCAGGGAGGCGACGGAGGCAGGGGGACTGGCATCATTACTGGAGACAGACAGCGAGTCTGATGGGACAAGAGGAGGGGGTGTTTTATCGAACCTGGCACAAATCTCAGCCTGAAGATGTGAACTGAAGCCAACACGCTTCAGGCCCCCAGCTCTACAGACGCTGTGAGCTTCGCTTGCTGGGCAGAATCCTGAAGGCTCCCACCAGTAGAACACAGATTAAAACTCTTTAGTTGCCTAAAATACCATAAAGAGTAGAGAACATTTAAAATTACTTTTACCCATTTTCATGAAGAAAACACTGAGAAAGAAGAATTTGAAGAATAGGTAGAAATGTTTTTAGCTACATAAATGGATATATTCAGCATCAACTGATCCTGTCAAAATATGTATCAGCTTGGCTCGCTAACAATGAATTAAAGTACACCACACACATATGAATCGAGAGGGTAACCTCTTGTGACAGAAGGTAACAAACCACCCATGTGGAAAGGCCCACACCTGGAAGAAGCTGGTGACTGGGGGAAGAGGCTGCCGTGGCCCCTGCCCACAGCCAGACCACACAGGCACAGAGTGCAGCAGCCTCCACAGAGTTATCTCACATGTTTGGGTAAACACCATCAAGAAGTCACAGAAGCAACAACACATAATCAGAAGGAAGAAAGATATCTCCTCAATTAACCAAAACACTTTACAGCAAATATATCCAAGATAAGCTTCTCATTTGACCTCAAAACTTAAGACACATTCAACACCGGATTGAAGATTCTGCAGGAAGAAAAAAAAAATGAGTTTTAGATGGTAGTAGACATGACAACTTTGTGGCATTAGGTATTACTTTGGAACTAGAAAACCAGTGACCATGAACACTGCATGGTCTGTTCCCGGATGTGTGACTAAGGGCCCCACAACAGTGATAAGGAGTAATATGCTTTACTTTAGGAGAGAAATGGAAGGCAGGAAGATAGCTCAGTAGAATAAGCACTTGTCTGGAAGGCGCAAGGGCCTGAGTTCAATCCCCAGCTCTGCAAAACAAACAAACAAACAAACAAACAACCCCCAAACAAAAAAACAACAACAACAAAAAAAGGAGTTAAATGGAAAGGATGTCTGTCACATGCTGTTTGTGCAAATCTTTTGAAGTCTTGAGACTATACTAAAGTTAATCTTTGAAAACAGTCTTCTATACCCATCCCTGTCTTAGCGGTGCTTACCTCTTTGGCTGTGAGACCATTAGGTGTGACAGAGAGCCAGAGGGCTAATCCCTGCTTAACCCTGTGAGTGCAGTCCTCACTCGCCACAACAGCGGACACTCATCTGGCTGCTGTCCTGCTCTTTCTTAGCCTGGGACTCGGCTGGAGGAAGGTGGGTCTCCCACCAAGTGCTGCACTTTAAGCAGCATCATTCATTCTTTACAAACTGGATTTTTCATGGAGGCAGACTGGTTCAAAAATGAGCAATATCTGTTAAGGAGTAATAACCTTCTCAGGGGCCAGGGAGATGGCTCAGTGGAATTAACACTTCCCTGGCAAGTGCAAGGGCCTGAGTTCAATCCCTGGTTCCACAAAAAAAAAA